GAAGGTTACGTTATCCGTCACAGCCTGCAGGCTTGTGTACATTATAACACATCTCCATTATAATGAGTTCCGCAATATAACACTTTATCTAATAAGTCCTAAACAAAGGCAGGTTTTCTTTTTTTTTTGCACACAAGATACAATGGCTGTCAGCTCTAATCCTCTTCACAGTTTCAAGTACATGATTATATCAACAGGCGGAGGAAGCTGTTGACACACTGTACACACTGTACACACACACACACACCACATGCCTTTACCATGGGTGAATGTAAGTACAGACACACACACATGCCTGCTGTGTTGCTCTGCACATCAGGCTGCAGGGTTCATAAGCTGCAGCACACTAATGTGCACATGTCACAGTCGGTCAGGCACCCATGTAAACTTGTTCTCTGCCCTCCATGACTGTTCCCGTGGCTCGTATCCATATGGTGACCAAGGCCTCTTGCTGAAAGAGCTTTACTGTCTTCACTGTCTGTCTCTGTATCACCACGCAGCACAATTTTCTAGAGAGAAAAACTGTCCACTGCATATTTAAATGAAACCACTTTTAAGATGTTCCTCTGAGTTTCGGTCTTACTTCTTGCGTCTGCACGAGTTGACGTCTAATAATGTCTCTCTTAGTCAGAGACTGTCTTGTCTCTAGGTGTAAAGCTCAGTAGGAAATGTGTTGTAAAAATAGAAAAGGTAACAGCAAACAGGATTATGTGCAGTGAGTAAAAACACACTCTGAATGCAGTCATATATTTAAAGCGCATTCGGATGTTTTGCTGCAGAGAGGCTTTAGGCTTCAACTATGCACTGTTGTTTATTTATTGTTTCACTCACTAGACTAGAATTATTAGCTAATAAAATCAGTGTGTGTTTGTTTTTGCCTAAAGCAAGTGCCTCCTGTGCGGCTTTATGGATTTATCCTGCCATTAGATTAAAGAACTGCAAAGACGGTTCCTTAGGTAGTTTGGACTTCATTGTGAAATCTATACATGAATCAATCTGACATATTGGCTAGATCTTCTCAAGTGAAGGGAAATCACTTTCGTGAGGCTTAAATAAATGTTCTCTCAACCTTTCATATAACAAGTCTTTGTTATATGAAGGCAGTTTCCTCTCATATCTGTCACCCTCCGTTCCCCTGAGCTCACCGGCATCACAACAGCTGCTGTATTTCTTTATTCCATGTTGCTATCGGCTCTTCCCTTTTCACCTATTCGTACATTTGGAGTGCTAGTATTTCCATCCCACAGGATTATGGACCAAAGAATCTTGCAATACATCAGGGTTTTGTATCTCAATAACAGATAATACTGAAGACACAGTATAGACCCAGTATACGGCGACCTCGAGTCACAAGCCTGAGAATTAACAAAAAGGACCTTGGTGTTCTCAGGTTGTTTCTTTTGTTCTTCTTGCCTCTGTATGGCATTATTCTGTGACAACAGGAGTTGCTTATCCCCTATAGAAATCTATAGGAAGTGTACTGTACGTGGTTAGGAGCTCAATAGTTAGTTTGCGTTTCCGGGACTTTATCTTGTATGACTATGATTTTCTGCACATTTCTTTTGCTTTGTGCCTCTTTCTGTGCAGCATACATACAGAAGAATAAACATATAGCTCCTACTGTCAGTTAATTTAAAAACTACAGGAGCTCCTTCACATAAAGAAGGAATAGAAGCTCCTGATCAATCAGATACATCAATAACAAATGTTATGTTAGCTAAGCATTGCTTCTCACATTCTGCTAAGTGTCTTCTGTTTTTGATGTGTAATGGTATTTCTACATTTAAACTAATTCTTTTAATATTTGATCACAATGAACACTATTGGCTTTTAATATTTGACCTCATCGGTTATGAGGTCTCATTAATGCCGCTCTGTGTGGTGCCTGTCAGATCCAGGTGCAGAAACTACAGAGACCGTCGAATAAAAAAGTGTCAAAGTCTCGAGAAATATGTCTAAAAAACATTGACGTTAAAGTACCAATTAAAACCCGATTTTAGTTGACTGTTAATAGTTTTGTCAGGCTTTAAATGAAACCGTGAAAATATGATGTGCTCTATGTTAGGATAATCCAAAATGCAGGCAAAGATAAGACAGTTTACTAACACACGTGTTTTGTTCTTTCTTTACTTTTTTCTTCCATTTTAACCTAGTTATTAAATATTATTTAATACAGTAAAGAGTCAAGCTTATCTTAACCGTGTGAAATCACACATTCATTCAGAATGGTTTAAAACAAGTCCATAGAAGTATATCAGAAAATGACCTCAAATCTCCCTTGCTTTAGTACCTTGCTGAACATTTTCGGGAGTCAAGTCTTTTTTAATACAATAATGTTTAGTCTGTAAATTATTGACACATTAACAGTAGAATAACAGACGAGCATGCATAAGTTGTCCAGTTTTACAACTAAAGTGGCTCTTATTTTACAGCTGGTTAAAGAAACCATTGTGGTCACAGTTTGTCTTCTGTATGTAACCAGGCTGATGGCCTCGCTGATGTCATTTGTTCTTGTCACAGCCTTTGTGGACTCTGTCGTGGTCAGCTGTTTTCACCGAAGCACTAGCACCCGCACCCGACATAATTGGTGTGGAGAGAGCACGTAACGACTATGCAGTCATAAGAATGAGATTTTCAGTTCTCATAAATAGGAGGCAGTAGAGGAGAGATATGATGCAGAAGAGGAGGAAGGTATTAGAGTAAAGTCATACATTTGATACAAGGTTTGAAGGCTCTTTTGTACGAGTTGGCAGTGCGTGGTTGCGCTGAATTGCGCTGTGTGTGCATGCGTGCGTGCGTGTGTGTGTGTGTGTGTGTACATGAGCGGCATGAGCCGTTAGCATGAAGTGGGAGTCTTCTCTGGAGGCCTGTGTTCATTATATTGCTGTGTTAATGCAATCATGCATGTCTGTGCCATGGCATCAATTTAATGGAACCAGAACATGTATGCATTTGGTGTGTGCTTCTATGACTGTATATGTGTGTGTATGTTTGACAGAAAAAAGAGGGAGTGAGAACTGAAGAGGGGGCACGAGATAAGAGAGGAGAGCGACATGAAGAACACTACTGAACAAAGACGTCAGGCTTTTTTTTTAAAGATAACACAAAAAAAAAAAGCAGCAGTAAGTCTATTCAACAGCCTCTTCTGAGTGTGACAGCATCCTGGCTTCTCGTCTTGATAGATAGATCGTTTTGGAGTGTGTGGACACTGAACTAAAGAAATAAAAAAAAAAGGGGACAAGTCAGATAAAAACAGACAAGGACACAGAGACAACACCAATTTTGTCCCTTCAATAGACACAAGGGGAAAATAGCATGTTTCCCCTTGTCTATCACTGGCTCAAGAACTATTAGCTTAATTATATAGAGGAACTGTAGACTGTAGAGACTTGTGCGTGCGTGTTTTGTGTACTTATAGAGCTGACAACATCGGGACAGAAACTAGGATTGCACAGTCTTAACTGGACCATTGAGTTTTTTGTTTTTTTATTGAACATTACACTTTAAATGTACTTCCTGTTTTAACGTCACTGTGACATTCTCTTCTGGCTACAGCTGTTGATTATTAGAATCTTCCATAAACCCTATGAAACTTGATTCCAGTAGCTTTTTTCAGTTGTTTTTAATTCGAACATGGGTTAGAAAAATGTTTAACTAGTTGGGATTAAATAAAAGGGGGTGTATATTACTCTCATGCATGTGCATTAAGTGCAGACACTGACCTACGAGGTGGTTTTGACTAGCATAAAGGAAGACAGATAGTCTGGCTCTGTCAAAATTTACATCTTGACAAAGACAAAATGACTTTACTTTACAGGAGCAATGGCAGCCTAGTGGTTAGTTTGTGCCCAATATATAGAGACTGTGGTCTTCAAAGCAGCCGGGGTTCAAGTCCGACCTGTGGCTCCTTTTCCACTCTCTCTCGTTTCCATTTCTGTCCGCTATCCTGTCCAAAAAACACTTTCAGTTGACATACTCTGAATGTCGCATTGTATTTTTGTAACATTTAGGGATACAAAATTTAGTCCTATCTTCTTTAACAATATGCAACTGACCTTTGTATTGTGGAAGTACTGATAGAGGCCAACCTCAGAAATCTTTGTTTGGTTGTTTACCACGTCACAGTTAGTAGGAACATTGAGTACAGTGGTAGACTTGGTTGAATATGTAATTTTTTTGTTTGTTCTGAGACCACATCTTTAGCGCTTCCTCCCCCGATGCCTTCTAGAGTAGAAGACAGAGGAAGTTGTCTCGACCCCATCCGAGAAGCAACAAATGGAGTTCCTTCATGTTTGATTCTCATACTGCTTCAAGAAAGAAGATTAGTGATCTGTTGGCGTAAAAACCGCAGGACATACTTGAAGTCACATCAAGATCACAAGGAATCATGGGGGCTATAGGTAGATAGCTGTCTAACTCTTTAACGCATTGCTGATACAAAGGTTTTTTTTTAAAAAGAACTTATTTTGCTTTCAATTTATTGTCATTGAGAAAAATGAAGAATATCATCAGCCTTATCTGTCAAGGTTAGCTGAATTCTTTTGGAAATGAACGCAAGTCAATAAAATGGCCTCCAAAGTGACAAAAACAAGTGTGTGTGTTTGTGTGTGTGTGTGTGTGGGTTTGTGCGGGCACATGTGCGTGTGTGTGTGTATGTGTGTGCGTGCTGCACGGATGGTGGGGGGAGTGAGGCAGAACAGTCACATGCACAACAGAATGTCAAGGAATATCTCCCCCTTGCTTCTCTCTCCCACTCTCTCTCTCTCTCTCTCTCTCTCTCTCTCTCTCCCTCTCTCTCTCTCTCTCTCTTTTATACTTGACTCCATCCCTCCTCATCTATCTCCTCCAGTCTGCCGCTCTCTTCTCCCCTCTCTCTGCTCCTCTTTTTTCATCTCAACTTGAACTGTTCGTGCATTTATTTTTTAAACATATGCGTACAGCTATCCCTCTTTCTCTTTTTCCCTCTCTGTCTCTCTGTCTCTCTCTCTCTTTCTGTGTCTTCCTCTCCCTCATCTGTCCCCCCCCTCTCTCTGTTTTTTGCTCCTCTTCTTGCCACCTGTTAGTTAGTCTCCCTCTCCTCGCTGCACTGGAATCCCCTCTTTTTTTATGAGGAGTTTCACACTTGCGCTATCAGTGGGGTAAGTCATCCTTTTGGTCCTTTTTTATGCAGACAGGTTCAAAATGTACATGTTGTCATCTACATTTATGTTTGCTTTTATTTTTTCTGCATGAAAAAACACCTCTATGAAAAGAAATCGTTGTGCTCTGTCATTATATTTTCATTTTCCTTTTTTTAAATGTAAAAAACTAATGCAGCAAGAACTGGACTTAGTGACGCACAGATTAGTTCTGCATCATTTTCACACAGCAGGCAGGTGCAACATGTGTCTTCTACCCGCTTCTTCACTTTTTCTTTCACACCTTCAAACATACGTAAGAGGCGCACACTCACACACACTGAAGTTTACTCAGCTGTCTGAAAATAACTTGGCTCTAATTGACAAGTGCTCACTGTCACTGCACCTTGCTATAAATGATGCGCTGACTGTCAAACCCTAATGAGTAGCTACAGTGTGTGGCAACTGTACTATACCATCTGCCTGTCAGCCGGCAGCTTGTTATTTAAAGGTGAACAGAGACCGCCACAGGGGCCCCATTGTATGTAGGACACAAGAGAAGAAGAAAAAGAAGAAGAGGAGGACCAGCCCAGAGGGAGGAAGAGGGATAGATCCTCTTATACTTGGGCTACAGGTGGAATTATGGTGGTCGTGAATGACTGAAGGAACAGTAATGACTGGAAAAAAGAGGGGGGCCAAGAAGAAGAGGTGGATTAGAAGGTGGAGAGGAGGGGGTTTGAGGGAGGGGCGTCCATGCTGTGATGTGACTCTAATTTAAAGTGAAGGAGCAAAAAAAAAAAGAGGAGGAGGAGGGGAGGATTAATGTTGCACAAAGATATTCCTTGTTGCTGGTTTTTGGTGGCTTTATTCCTAGTTTTCTCCAGAGCTATAAACCAATGTAACTGATACATATGCACATTCAGGGAAACCATGTTATAGTATCGTATGTGGTTGCATAACTAACAGCCATGGGGCTACTGTACATTGTAGCTGCTCTGGACAAGTTGGACTAAAGGAATTATGCAAAGTCTTTCTGCCATGTGCTCCGAGGCTTAGAGTCGTGCAGAAGCTTTAACACGCGGAAATCTGCAAAGTGTGAGGTGAAAGCCGCACCTCATTATTGTGTGAGCGTGTATTGTCACTCTTGTCAGCAACAAGCGGATGATGAAAAGAGAAGATGAGAGAGAGATTCCAGCTGGCATCATGAGGGCGATCAATCATGAGCTCTCTGTGAGCTTCTGCTTCCCCACAAGCTGCGAGCCTACGGGCCTCCAGGCTGTACGTGCACAGCCTGGAGGCTGCTGCTGCTGCTGGTTCTGGGTGGTGCTTGTGGTTCTCCAGTTTATGGCCACATCTGCCAGGACTGGGAGGCGACTGACTGTGCACATTATATTAGCCGATGCAGGCTTACAAGCCTGCTAAGCTGCTGTGCGTGTAGAGAGATGAATAAATGATCTGAAGGAAATGTATCCGTGAATGTATTGTAACAGAGTGTGTGTGTGTGTGTGTGTGTGTGTGTGTGTGTGTGTGTGTGTGTGTGTGTGTGTGTGTGTGTGTGTGTGTGTGTGGATGTGCACGCGCTTTGAGGGATTATATTTCTCTTAAGAACAATCATTATTATCTACTCACCAAAGTTTATTCATCTTTAATTAATTCTTGCCACATTTATCTTCATCAAAGGGAGTTTCATTAACTTGTTTTCACCTTCTGCCTATTATTTTATCTTCAACTTCACATTGTGTAGGCTACTTCAGTGGAGGGCTGCACTGTTTTTATTGTCATGCCAGACTACAATGATGTAGTAGCTGTGATGAGCAATTATTTTTTTAACTGTCGTTTAAACTTGACTTACAGTGTCTCTTCCTGACGTGTTATCTCCACAAAGCTTAATTGGATAGCGATGAACTCTGACCTCCTCAGAAGTCATTAAATCTGCTATTGTAGTCCTTAGTGGCGTTGTTTCTTCAAAGGAAAATACGTCAATCATGTTCCATGCCAAGGCCAGTGGTCTGTCAGAGTCCTTTCAGCCGGATGAGTCGAGGAAGTTTGCTTGCTGGCAGACAGCTGCTGCATATGAAGTTTGTTTCATCTGCAGCCAACAGAAAGCTGGATGAGCTGTGTGGTGTGTTTCGATCACTGCTGTGCTCACAGTATAAAGAGACCGGACCACACATGACAAACGACTCTCGTCTCCTGTAATTCTGCTAAAGGTCAACAGTCAGAGGCAGCAATTTCAGAGCCACTTCAAGCCCCGGTGCCATTGGTGATACCTGATGACTCAGGTGTCTGAAATCGGAATTTTTTTACTGGTTTGGACCACATGTCTATACGTAAGCCATGGGGGAGGGGAATTTCAAGGTTCTGAAGACAAGTTTGGGATTTTATTCTCAGAGAAGATTAACTCAACACCTGCACTCTGAAAATATTTATAGTCAACAACTTTAGAACTTTATAAAATTGGTTCTAGCCTAACGTTTCAGATGACGTTCAAGCACTTGAGGTTAGCGTTAGCTAGCATGCTATTGTTGACAGACATTAAAGCTGTAATTGATGACAGTTAAAATCTTACCTCAAGCTCTCACTGAAAAACAGACAATCCATGTTGTCCACATCTCCTCAGCCATTTTTTTGATGTTTTTTTTCTCTGCACAAAGAATTAAAATTGCAAATTTAACCGCTGGCTCCATTGTTTACGTGAGGTCACGTGAGGTGGTGCGCTCCTCCGCCGGCCGCAGTAATCTTAATAGAATACTCTATGAGGGATGTGCTGTTATTTTCATATCCTGAAGGTCACTTCATCCTGGTTTCTTTAGAACCAAATCGCAAAGCCACTTTTTATGCTTGTCTACATGTCTCTGTCAACTAATGCACAGTGTATGTTGTTGCTTGGTCGTTAGTTGTTGTTTGGTTTGTGCTTGTTGTTGCGGTTATATATAAATTTGCATGTGTGTACCAGCAATCTGCCAAGAGACTACAGATGGCTACAATCTGATATTTACATGTTTGTGTTCATTAATGTGCATAGTCCCTATTTTAAATGAAGAAATGAAAAAAATAATACAAGCTGAAAGAAATCCCTATAGGACACTGTTCTAATCAATACAAACCCCCTATAAGATCTTCAACTTAGCTTGGCCTAGTTTAGTTCAGCGTACGCTTGAACATAAAGGTTAGTTAAGGGAAAGCTAAACTAAACTAGTGTAAACTCAGCGGAAACCTTTTCCTGGTTCTATTGAAATAACACAAATAACATTACAAAATTGTAAAACAGTTTGGGACTATTGCTCAATTGGCGTAGTAACTTTGTGAATTATAGGAGGGTAGTCTTGACAGATATCACGAGAAATCAATCAGCTCCTACTTTCAGCAAGAGAGAAAAACAATGTTCTCTCATGGGTGCATTTTAAAGGTCGTCCATTTCTGTGCAACTGAATTACATTATTGAAAAAAAAATAATGTTCTTGATTTTTAACTCGTATTTACTTTCTATAGTCAACAGAAAAAAAACATGTACTCTTCCAAAGTATTTCTTGAACCTCTCTCTGTGAGTCTTCATTTTTGATTTTTTTTTTTTAAACTTCACAGACATTCACCTAACAGACAACACAGAGAAAGTGCAAATATCACAGTGCAAATATTCACTTCTCAGTTTCAATCGATGATTGAGAGAGCAGAAGGTAGTCCAAGGGGGGATTTGTTCAGTATTGAGGACAAAACGCCCCCTCAAGGGCTGCTGTCTTTAGAAAAGCAAAAGCTGTGAGATATTTGTAATCCACCCCCCTCGTTTTTATTTCAGGAAGAGAGCAGACACATCAGCCTTGTGGTCAACTCCACTCCCTGCTACCACAACTTTATATAATCACCAGAACTCTTCACTGCTTCCGATTTGCTGAAGAGCCTGTGAAGACTTCATCCTGTAATTACTTGTCTGTCTGTGGAGGATTGTTAAGCACTTTAGATAACATGTGTGCCTCGTAGGCTCACACACTGCAATTTTATCAGGAATGATTAGAATTGGGGGAGACCCCTTTTGTCTATTATCCTTTTTCCTTCTCAATAGGCTGGATTTTAATCGGTTGAATTCAATTGAAATGCAAATCTGAGCACGTCCTCTGCTGTGTTTGTCAGCTGATGAGTAATGTCTTTTTTTTTAAGAGATCTAATTATGTTCAAGAAGATTTCAGTTTGAGATAAGTGTTTCCTAACAAGTTTTGCTTCTTATGCAGCAAATGAGAAACTTCTATTTTGTGTGATGATATCTTGGAGAAGGCAAGACACACAAAAATACCTTATTTATCTACAGTCATCTTACTAAGCCCTCCCTGCTAGACTTGGATTATCAAAGGGGAAATTGAGAAAAACCGCCCATATCTGAGGATCAATGTCTTAGCTCTGGCTTCGGCTGGATAGATTCAAATATATTTATCGCTGTATTCTCTAAAAGTGATATGATTTGACTTTGCTAACTCTTCCATCATTCTTTCTTGCTCCTCCCGTAGCCCCATGACTGTGCGAAAAGGAAAACCTTTAGCCATCTCCATCCAGGAGAACATGGCCATCGACGTGTGTCCGGGCCCCATCCGCCCCATCCGTCAAATCTCTGCCTACTTTCCTCGCCTTTCCCCCACTTCCTCCTTCACCGAGCCACTTTCGCCCAATCACAAGGCAGCCCCCACTTCCCTCAGCCCTGGTAGCATGGGTCAAGGCGGAGGGGCTGCCGGGGGAGGAGGAGGGGGCAGCAGCCTGCTGTCACCACTGTTACCAGGAGCTGGTGGTGGAGGGGGGTCACTGTCAGCCATGAGCAGCATGGACACCTCCATCGAGATCGACAGCTGTGACAGCGATGACAGCAGTGAGTCACCTGGAAATAATGATCTGGTTTAACTACAGCGGCCTGAGACAGACAATAAAACTAACTCTACACAGGTTTGGCATCAGGAGAAAAGGTCACACATATAACATCATAAAAGAAGACCTATTGTACTCATCCTTATTTTAAAACATGCATGTCATGTTAAAATGATCGATATCCACACTGAACCACGGGCAAATTTTCAAATCATGAGTTTCACATGTGTGGGCGTATTCTTCAGACTTCTTTTCTGGCTTCTCTGAACATCCTGTTTCAAGAGTTTCGCGTGAGTCCAACGAGTCTGGTCACAACCTGGCATCATGCTCTACGTCATATACGGATAAGGACGCTTCCTTATGTCTCCACCCTGTAGTTCAGCACAGTTTTTAAAGCTTGCAGATACAGACAAAACGTTGCAATACCACTGGAAATCATGGGGGCAGTGACGGACAGTGTAGCCAACATTTCAAGCCAGACCAGCAAAACACAATGAAGAAGAATACTTTGGAAATACAGTAGTGGAACTTTATGAGGAAAGATTTTGAGAGTTGGTTAGGAACAACAAACACATGATGTTACCCTGCCTGGGCACAGGGAAAGACAAGTGCAACAGAACATCTGGGCAGAGATTAGACAGGAACTGAATGTCAGCAGCGAAGGATATACGCAGGTCTTTGCAAGAATGCGCCCTCTAGTCCACCACAACTTTAGCGACACGTGGGTTTAAAGGTTTTGACAGTTATATTGTTTTTATTGTGGGTATCTATTTTCATTCCTAAAGAGAACATAAATAAGACATGAAAATAGCCCATCCTCTGGCAAGTTCAAGAAAACACCAAACCCACAAGGCTTCCAGAGAACTCGACCAAAAAGAAAGAGGGCATTTAGGGAGGAGGGATGAGATAAGGGTTTTAAAAGGTGCTAGTTAGAGATATGTCGGAGTATATGGAGTTTTTGTTTTTTTGCTTTAAATCTTGCAAAGCTACTCTATGTGGTTCCCAGAGTGACATTATGAAAGTTGAAAATTTTAATAATATGTCTACTTTAATACCAAGCTCTGAAGTCAGCTTCCCAGTTAAACACTTCTCCCATGAGAAGAAAGCGTTTTCTTTTTTGGTTTGAGCAAAAAATGACAACCAGGTTAACTTTCACAAGACACAGTTCATTCCCTGAGATGAAAACAGAAATTGAATTGAACAAATCAGCCCAAGGTCTATACCTTTACCATGGTTACTCTATCCAGCTATGTGATTCAGTATTAGACTGATACCTGAAGAAAAAAAAAGTGTATTTCTGTTTATCAAGTTTTAAAACAGTACATAATCTACAATTATGGTTGTAGCTGAAACCAATTTTTGTTTACAGGTCTTTGACTTTTGGAGAAAAAAAAGGAAATAAGAGCCAGCATATCATTTTAAAATGACAACCACTGTCTTTGAGTGTAGATTTGACAACTATCATTTAAAATTATGCAATGCGAACACACCTGAATGATTTGGTCTAAAACTTGTTTTAAAAGAAGAACCTGCGTATAGGTTATAGACTTATTGCTCTCTTGCCAGGAGGTGTAGGAAATTTCCCTTTCTCTGTCCAGAAGCTCCATATAACATTTCTAAAGCTAATTTAACCACTCATTCATTTAAATGCCCCTTTGAGACTATACAGAGGGTTATTCAGTGTACTACTACTTCGTCAGAAATGGTCACCTACTGTGGTGTTAGCTGGATTAGGTAGCTTTACATGTGCAGGTTGTGTTGTTTCCAGGTTATGTTACACTAATTGATGAGGATCAGGAAGAAATTGACCAACAGTATCCTCTAAAATGATTAATGTGTTTTTCAAAGTGTCTTAATGACCAAGGGGAGGCTAGACAGGATATTTAAATCACATCACGGCTTCTTTCCTCTGTAAGAAAAAGATGTTGTAGGCTCAAAAGCAATAATCAAAATAACTGAAACATTTGATGAACTCTCTTCCAGCCTCGTTGGGGACGTTACAGTTTGACCTACTGTATGAAAGAGCCACCAGCTCACTACACTGCACAGTCCTGAGAGCAAAGGTAAATACTGCCCTCTAAAAAACTCCTTTTGAGCAGCTAGTTTGACTTGTACTAAGCTGACAGTTCTAGTTTAAACAGGTCAGGTTTGTATGATATTTGTACGTTCAAAAAAGCTGTTTAACTTTTATTTAATCCTAAACTCTGCTGTATGATTAAATTGATTGTGAGGTTGAAATTATTACCATGAAACATCTTGGCAATGATTGTACTTTGTGTTTAAAGATTATTACCAATTGATAATATATTAAACAAGGACTGTGCACATGGTAGATGGCAACTTTATACCTGCTACTTCAACATGTTTGCATTGTCCATCTGAGCATGTAAGAATGCTAATATTTACATTTAGGCCTACCTTAAAGCAATTAGAAACCCAAATCCATAATAGTTTATAATACATAAGGGTTTCAGTTCTATAATAGCAAGCATAAAAACGTTTTGTAAATAAGTTTACATTGAAATATTTTCCATTAATTGTCTGTAAACTGTATTAGGCCTTAGTAATGTTGTGAGTCGTGTATTAATACTACTGTAACTATCTCCAAACCATTCATAGGAATAATTCTATGGCAGCTATTAGGCTATTTACGCCTATTAGCATCATCCACAAGTGAATATAAATGACTGGTGAGGATTAATGTCAGCAAGTGTCAACCCAGTTGTCCCTTTTCACTAGGTTGGGCTTAGTGTGAGCTGTTTATGATATTTTTGATGGTGGGTGTTTAGTGCTGTCAGGTACTGTAGAGTTGGGTTGTGCAACAGTATGATACTGGCTAATGCTATATTTAGCATTTAGGTTCAAGATATCAAATTGTTTAGGGCTGCAAAATTCTGATTGTCACATACTATGTTAGGAGCCAGAGAGATGTCAATCCAAAACTGATCTACCTGAGAAATGGTCTAAACAGCCATTTTCCTAAGAGCTATCATTATTCATTTTCACACAGATTTAGTTGTATAAAACTCTGATATAAATATTCAATTGAACTATGTGCTTTGACTTCAGCTTCAAAGAGCAGCTTGGGTGGCAACAGAATCTCTGTCCTATTTCTAGTTACTTTGAATAAATAGCAGCAAAAACGGATGTCAATGCATAGTCTAGTTGTTTGGGGGGGAAATACGCTTGGTGTACTCACAGGTCAAAGGGACCTGCACATGGGGAATTACTGTGACAGTATCAATATGAAAAATTAATTGCTTTTGTCGTGCACCTGTTGGTACTGCAGGTAACGTTTGCAAATGTCTCCATCTGAGGTTTCTTGTCACATATCCTGTCTCCTCAATTCTGCAGTCTGTAGCAGAAACAGCTCAACTGATTTTCATTTCATTTATTTAAGACAGAGACATTGCACATGATTTTAGTAGCATTATGCAGTGTTAATATCATTTTTTATTATTAAGTGTACCTCTTCACCACATGATCCTCACTGGTCAACTGTCTGTCAAATTAAAGCCCCCCCCAACCCAACCTCCTCTGTGGAGCTCTGTGGGTTATATTCAATTTGTCATTGAACCTTTCACCTCTTACTCGGGGTAAGGTTTCACAATTCATTACTGGTGCTGTCAGTTGTGTTCCCCACCAATTATTACGCAACCCTCCCTTAAATCTTCCCTTTCTGTCTCTATTAGGGTCTGAAGCCGATGGATTTTAACGGTTTGGCTGATCCTTACGTCAAGCTGCACCTGCTTCCAGGAGCCTGCAAGGTCTTGTTTTAATAGCAGATCACAGTTTTGTTCCTGTTTTGTTCTTTGCAAATGAAAACGTGATTTTTGCATCTTCGACCCCAGCACTTTTTTGAGTGCAGATTTTATTTATTAGCTATGATTTTGAAGCTGCATGATGAAAATGCAACAGCACAGCAGTAAATCTGCACTAAGATAAAATAACCTTGCAGCCAGGGGACAAAATGTTTTTCTTCAGAGATTGTTTTGTGGTTAACGCCTCTAAAAAAAAAAAAAATGGCTTTTAGTAAAATGGCTGTTTTCCTTTTTGCTTTGACTCATAGGCCAATAAGCTGAAAACCAAGACAGTACGCAACACGCTGAACCCCGTTTGGAACGAGACGCTCACCTACTGTGGAATTACTGAGGAAGACATGTACCGCAAAACACTCCGGTAAATGTTTGATTTAGAGGCCTTCCTGCTATTTCTGGCTCCTTCTCTGCACTTTTTTCTGATCTGTCAAGCCCATCAGAAAGCCCGCTATCGTTCACAAAGGAACTCTTATCATGCATCTCAGTCTCAAGAGGGTTGTAGCACCCAGTTTAAAGGCTTTTATCTTTCTCTGGTTTCAGTGTGATCCCTCTCTTCTTTCATCACCACTGATCCTTTGACTCTCCTTTGTCACCTCACCTCACCTCCCCCCCCCACCTTGTCGTCCGCATCTCCTCTATCCACTAAGATCAGAAAAGATCTCCCCTCTCATCTCCAAAACCATCCCTCTCCAATTGTCTTTCCTTCTGTCCTCCCCCGCTGCCTTCTTCTCCCTCCAAGTTACACTGACAGATTGAGGTCAGACTAAGCACCGTGGGGTGTTTTAATTTCATTGACCCACTCCAGAGGTGACGAAAGCTGCGAATTGTCGCTGCCTGTGACTAAAACTTTGCCGATGCACACGAGAATGGGATTTAAATAGGATTGACGGGGCGATCTCTCGAGGGAAATTAGACAAACTGGCCCTACAATCGGCTGACAACACGGTGTTTACTTGGAAGAGGCGTTTAAAAATCAGGAGACAAGAAGTTTAACCTGCTATAACATGCAAACATGTTGACATCGCTCACTGCAATGCATCAATGCCAGAAACTGTCTTAGACATCCACGCACGTGGATCTTATTTTAGATTTGTACGGTGGACGTCTGGACAATAATTGCACTGGCATCATTAAAATCTTTCTTCAATCTTTCCCTTTAAAAAAAATACTCTGAAACTGCTTAGTAACATACTTATTAGTCAAATGTCCGACAATAACACTTTAAACAGGTAACGGTTTGTCAAATTGAATAACATTTATCAGCCTGCTGCTCCATCATTATGTAATCTTTTGGTGTAATGAGAAATGTGTGCTGCCATTAACATGCATCTCATACTGTGTACCTGCTGAACTGCATCAGTCACATTGTAATAACGAGCCTGTGCATCATTCTTCATGTAGGCCTTTTGTACTTTCACTTCAACCTCAAGCGCTTTTGATCACAAATGTGCTTTACTCATACATCTGTCCCACCATCTTTCACATCTCATCTCCCTCATTCCCTCAGCTCCTTCTTTCTATTCTACTCTTCTTTCTTGTAGTATCATTCTTTCATATTTTCATTAAAGAGTTCAGGTCTGCTTTTTGCACATTGGCTCCTAGATCAGAAATGACCTCTGGCGATGTCAACACATATCTGCTCTCCCTCAGGTTATTGCACACTCTACATTTCTGTAATGCTGTGGTTAATAGCAAAGACACATACGTGTGACATACTGATGTTCCACTTCTGCCTATAGAAACGCACATTTGCATGCATAAATGACTCTTCACACACACTCACATTTGAATAAATTCATGCATTTTTTATCTTCCCCTCTTACCCACCTCACTCCATCCTTGGCTCGGTGGCTTTTGATTTCGGCTTCTCTCTATCTCCTTCATTCCTCTCTGTTGCTTCCACCCACTTATGCGATTTGTTGACATAATGGCTGGTGTAAAAGTTTGCCAGGCCCATAAATATGGATTGACTTAACCTTGCATGATGCACTTCCACACTGTCTAAATTCCCAGTGGAGGGAAAATGGTAATTGTTTGAGCAATGTGTGTATACAGATGCAGGATCTATTTGTGTGTGATTTCTCAGGTCAGGTGTATGTTGACGATATCCTTCCCTCATTATAATGTAGCCGACATTCAGAATAATTGAATGGGTCATAATATTTGTCATAAATTACAATATGTTATCTTTGTGACGTCTTTTAACCCCTGTTCCTGCTTCCCTCATTTCCCCATGGGTCTCTCGTTTTTCCTCCCTCCTCTGTCTCTCACTCCCAGGGTGTCCGTGTGCGACGAAGACAAGCTGACACATAATGAGTTCATCGGGGAGTCGCGGGTGGCCCTGCGCCGCTTGAAGCCTGACCAGACCAAACACTATAACATCTGTCTGGAGCATCCACCTCCTGTGAGAAAATGAGAAAGAAAGACGACATGGGAGGATAGGAAAGTGGGAGATAAAAGGGAAGGGAAGAGGAAAATGAGAGTTTATGAGGGAGATGGATGACTAGAGGGTGCAGTTATATTCAATATGATGAGGCTGTTTGACTCATATCCTCATCTATTAACGTAGAGACGAGATAGGAGGAAAGATGCAAAGCGAGGCTTGAACAAGGTGAACGAAAAAGGCAGGAAATTGTTTACAGGCCAACAGGGAGGCATTAAAATGTCGATATTCTGTAGACATATCAATCAACTCCAATAATGACACACCTGGGTCTGAGAGAAAATAAAACACCAGTGTGCCCGTACAATCACTGCAGCAAAGCCTTCATGAAAGCATTTCAACACAATCAACCCAAATTCAAAAGATTCTTCCCTTTATTTGATACTGAAGACTCTCGCTCCGTTGGAAAATCTTTGATTTGGTAATAATAATAATAATAATAATAAAGTTTGATATCATTGAAATTCTTCAATGACGTTTGGTCCGTACTTTCTTCATCTGTTTTTGACTTTACTGTCAAATCAATCATAACATGTACTCAGCAATTTTATCACCCGTTAGTCGAAATATAAATCAATTATTTACAAAGGGCAAATTGTGGATGTCCAGCTAATCCCTAAAGATCAGGACTCTCTGTAGAACGGTAGAGAGCTTCCTCATCAACTGTCCACAAACTGCTGCTGCAAAGTTTAAAGCAAACTCTAATAACTATTGAGAGCAAACTGAAACAAACAGCCCCAGACTTTGTCTCCCTAAAGGACAGTGGTGTCCACATGCTTTTGGCCGAATAATATACTTTGAATTTAGCCTATATCAGCCCAGATTAATATCCCACTGACATAATGGAGATGACTTTGGCCTGGAAATTACAATTCTTACATAAACAGAGAAGTGGGGTTTCTATTCTTACAGTCCACAAGTGCTTTTCTGTGCAGGCTAAATGTCAGCATTGGAAAAGGGTAAATAGAAAGTGGGAGAATAAAGGAAGAGGAGAAAGAGCGAGAGGAGGGGGGCCGTCAATAGACAGAGGGAGCAAGTGAGGGAGATGAGAAACAAATGGATTAAAAAATGAAAGAGGTGCATAGCGGGGTGTATGTGTGTGAAAAGGGGCAGGAGGGTGGTATGTTTTTGTTCTCCGTGTGTTGGTTCTAGATTGCCTCTCTGAGGCTGGTGGCCACTGTGCGATCAAACGCTGAAGCAGCTCTGTCATCCTGCGAGCCAGATGCCATGTCAGGCCTGCCATTTTTAAAGTGGATTCACCCCCCATCCAATACTTCTAACCCTCTGTATTCTTTTTTTTTTTGTTATGGAGCCTGTTTGTACAGCTTTTCTGTCAGACATATCCATTCATTTTTAATATTCCTCTTTGCTTTCTGTCCTCTCTCCCTCCAGCTGCCCTCACCTACAGCCATGAGCACAGCGCTGAGAGGAATCTCCTGCTACCTGAGAGAGGTGAACTCATGACTTCTTTTGTTCAACATGATCCCCCTCCTGTCTGTCTGTCTGTCTGTCTGTCTGTCTGTCTGTCTGTCTGTCTGTCTGTCTGTCTGTCTGACAGGAAAAGTCTGAGTTTGGTCACTTAACCCAATATTAAAGAACACAATGGTTCCTGAATTGTATCATTAAAGTAAAACTAACTTCTAAAAGTAGAATAAGGCTGCAAAAGTTAAATTCTCCATCATGTTTAATTCTGACTTTAAAGAGCATCAGATTTAAATGTTCAAATTTAGCTCATGCTGAAACACGAAGCCAGTTAGTCATTAATTTGCATCAATAATTGACTGATTCTTGATTATTGATCAATCATTCAATTTACTTCTAAAGCTTAGTCCATGTGAGACTTTTTCGCTTTGCTGTATTAACATTATAGTAAAAAGATTGATGGATTGTTTTGGAAGTACAACGGCCTGCCACGCTCCAGATTCTCATTATCAATTGAGTTGTCAGTAGCTCATTAATCCAGAAGATATGATTATGATTAATGCCTTACATTTACACCACTATACAGCCGAGAACACAGCAGTACATCTTGACTGCATTAGCGCTTCCTACCCTGAGCGTGTCATTACGGAAAATGGCCGCAGTGTGAATATGATAAATTAGAAGCAGAGCTGAGGGGCGACATTGAATCCAGGTCTTAGTAACACATCTATGAATCAGTCAGACCTTTGTTGGAGCTGGGACATGTAGTGTGTTGTACTCTTGCTGTGTGAGACTTAGCACAACAGTCACACGTGGAGATGAATCATGAAGTCAATGAACTGAATTAGTAATTTCAGCAGGCCTATCGCAGCAGACACTGTCTGCCATTTTGGCTCACAGGGCGATTAATCCACTCTAATACACAGCTGTCTTGTTCTATCTGTATGCAGTCTGGTTCATTATGACTTACTTCAATCTGAAATTGGCTCTGTTTTATTTTTGTATTCCCTTTTTCATTTGTCACTTGATCAACAGTTTCAAAGCATTTTTTTTGTAAAACTGAATAAAAGAAACAAACATAAAGACACACAAATATTGTCAATATTGTTTGTGTAGCATAAAACCAGGAGAGTTAAAGCACAACTGGATCACTTTAGAGGAATCTGTAAGTGTTCATTAACCCAATTCATCCGTTCCTATATTGATCAAACAGGACCATCATGTGTCTCAGGGTTACATTTGCCCATCACAAAGACTCCATGCATGATGTAATCATTCCTCAAGGGACAGTCGAGTGTATCGTTGTCTTTTTACCGTTACGCTGTATACTTGATCGACGTTTAGAAATTGACTGTATTTAGTTTGTAGTCTGTTTATAATTAACTGGGCCAAATAAGGCTGTAGCAGCACCAAGTGTGTTTGTCTGTGTCTATGAATACATCTACTCCTGTTGAAGTTTAAAAAGAAAAAGGTGAATCATGCATGAATTCTAGTTATAGAGGGAATACTTGCAAACACACTGGTCTTAATAACATCAATAAGCATCAATAACGTTATCAGCCCAATCCTCTTATCACAGTTTTGGTAAATTAACAAAAAGGGCCAAACCAGAGGGTAGGCGAGAATCTGTTAAGATAACAGGAGTAACACAGATGCCTCTGTGTTTCCCACCATATCCCAGGTTGGTTAATGTGCCTCGGCTGTTCTTTAGCCTTGCCTTCCCACCCACAAATGTATCTGTTTCCCATCCGTCTGTCACTGCATGTGTGCGCGTGTGTGTGTGTGTGTGTGTGTGTGTGAGTGAGTGTTTGTATAGCTCCACACTGACGCATGTTTATTTCCGCCTCCCTAATGAGTTGCTCTCTATCGATCTGTGAAGGTCTGAGCTGTTTCATTACCACATACCTGCTGCAAATTATCCCCATTAATTGCAAGGTTTTAAAGTCAGCTACTCAGTCACGGCAGATGGAGGACTGGCTGTTGGCACAAATGATGATTTCCCAAAGAGAAACAGAAAAGGGGGAGGAGGGGAAAGAGAGAATTGGAAAAAGGAACGGGGCAAGCTGTTGAGACAATTAGTGAAAAGAAAGGAGAAGAGTGAGATATTGATGGCCCTGTGTCCACCACTTGCCTGGAGATAAGACTTAATGAGAGATGAAATGATAGGAGAGCAAGGAGAGACATTTTGTGAAAAATGCACTCAAGGAGTGATGGAACTCATTTTAAATTCAAAAGACATTTCAACAGGCAACAGAAAAAGCTTTTTTTTGTAGCCATTTTCTCTGGAGAAACATCAAACATACGTTGAAGAAGAAGAACCTGAAGTGATGAGAATCCACAAATAGCAAACATGCGTCTTTCCTATAAATAACATAAATGTATTGGTGCTGTCGGCTGCAAGGGTGAGTCACGGTCCTGTGAGAACATCATCCTCCCCTTCCCCAACCTCTGATGCTGCTTCCTCGCTCTCTTTCATCTGTCACTTTAAATCTGCGCCGTTGATCCGCTTGTTGTCAAATGATCCTGCAACAGCTTGATGTTGTCCAAGGAAAAACACTCCAGCCAATGCAATAATAACATGACCCTAAGGTTGGTCCGAGACAGGTCTCTGCTGTCAGATCGACTGCACTCCTTCTTATTTGTGATGGTAGTTGGAGTTTGTTGAGCTCAAATGAATGTAGGTGAATGTTGGTGAGCTCCTTAGCGTTGTCTGCTCCTGAGAGAAGAATAGGTGAACCAAATCACAGCAGAGGACTCGAAGGACATTTTAAATCAACACCACGATAAATAAAAGGTGGAATAAACATAAAATGTATACACTTTAAAGTAGTTTGATAAATACTTATCTGCCCAGGTATGGCCAGTCAGATAATGGCCATTAATGAGTCATTGTGATGCCTTTATGACTCCTCTATACTTGTATACTTTTAAAAGTTATGCTTCCTGATCAGAGACAAGCAGTCTAGTGTCAGTTGTTTGGGGGGGGGGGTGTATGACCTAGTAATCTTACTTCAAAAGGATGCCTGTACTTATTTATATGCATTTATTCCCGTATATTTAGTTTGTTTGCGAGTTTGACAGTGTGCAGGAGCTAACCTTTAAGTTTTGATGGACCCATTGCTCGCTTACGCCCCTGTCCATTTTGAACACAAACCTTCATGCACTTTCAATTTTAATTAAATGAATCTTTACTTTTTCATGACTTCATGACAGAGAAAAAGAATTCACAGCATTATGGATCTGAGCAGGTTCAGAGACGCAAGACTTTTTCCTATTAAATCAGTGTTCTCACAGTAGTTTGTGTCAACCTTTTTGCCGTTTATTGATTTTCTTTTTTTCAATTTTATTTGAAGTTAAAATAATTGAAGTTTCATAGTCTCCTCAGTGTTAATTTTAGGTTAGTTTAGGAACATTTCGGAACTTGTGTTTGTTCACTTCTTCTCCAGTTAATAAGTTTTATCAGTACTCATTTTTTTACATTTCCTTGTCTGCTTGGAGAAAAAATGTCTTTGGCCACCTTTGGTTTTTGGCCAGTAAACAATGAAGTCAGGCACACAATGAATCTTGGATTGGTCCTAAGTCTCAGATTTGTCAGTAACCTGTGTTTATTCTGACTGGGTTTTAAATACATGGTGGAAATTGGCTAGAATCATGTTTTTGCTTCAGGCCTGCACAGATCTGTGTTTAAGCATGCGCGTTGTCACTGGTAGCACTACTAGATGTTCTGCAAGAGTTAGCAATCATTGCTTTGATTTCTGCTGCAGGAAGATCTGCTCTGAATTTCAACGGTTTATTTTTTACTGCAGCTTTAAACCTGCCTCCATTGATTTGTGGCCTCAGTAAACACAACATTGATGCATTATCAACTCATTCAGAGGGTATGGTGAGCTTGCAAGCCACAAGCTTTGCTAATTTACACAGTGGACAGACGTAGAGCGTAATGAGTATTTATTTGAAGTTGTGTCTCAGTCAACAAGTCCAATATTCACTCAGCTTTTTAAACCCTGTTTTAGTCTGAAAAATCAGACTATGAATCTGCTTAAAAATTCTCTTTGATCACCGGCAAGTGTGCCAACTTTGTCTGTTTGTTGTTGTGGTGCTGACCAGATTGGGAACAGTGGGGTTATTCATGCCTTTTCCACTGAAACAGCTTCCTTCAGTAGCTGGACACAACGCTGAAAAGAGAGTGAAGAAAACAAGGAAGATGTTGGCGAAAAAAAACAAAACAGGGAGCTGAAAGTCACGAAACTATATTAAGCCACTAGTACAATAAAAATATAAATTACTGCAGCTTCAAAGAAAAACGAAAACTTTGTGCCTTTTTTATAAACAGGTCACATGACGTCGCTTCTGATGCTTCAGAGGCCTCCTGTTTAAGCCTTCACCTTAACTCGCAACTTGCAACATTTTTCCTGTTGATTCTTTCCATTTCAATCTCTTTTATCGGCTCTTTACTCTCAGTGGGAGACCGAACAGCATCGAAGTCTGGAGGAGAGAGGCCGCCTGCTGCTCTGTCTGCAGTTCCTCCCTCCGTCCGCCGCTGATGACGACGTCAAGGGCGAAGCCAAGGAGAGGGCTCGTGGAGGGCTGTGTGTGGGTGTCAAACGCTGTGCCCACCTGGCAGCCATGGACGTCAATGGCTTCTCGGACCCCTATGTTAAAACGTAAGAATGGCATCAAACCACTGACATGGGATTAAATTGCCGGGTGAACAGATTGCCACGTTTACTGCTGCTTCTATCTTCTTTTTTTTATATATTGTAAAGGCAATATTTTTCAAACATACAAAGGTTAAAGATCCGTCTGTAGTTTTCAAAGTTTTCTATTCACAGAAAACAAAAGTCTGTTTTAGTCCGTCTCAGTTTCACATCCTTACTTATGGCGGGGGAAGCACAGCGCCTGCTTGATCTTACTGAATGTGTAAATCTATAAAAACACATCAAGAAATCTGAGCACAGACTTTTCCTCAAGCAGCTGGGAACTGTAGTTCTTTGGTTTGTTTTTTGTTGCAAACTAGTCAAACAGGTAGGAATACTTTCACCTTATTGGGGACTATTTCTTCTGTGGATGAATACACATTCAGATTCAGATGACTTTATTTATCTGAGAAGGGCAATTCAGTTCCACAGCCCACCGAGGCTCATTACTTCAAACGCCTGGGTAGACTGATAGCTAAAGAATAATAAGTTATATCAGGCACAGAACAGATTTTTCCTTGCATGAAAACTAATAATTGTGGTTTATTTTAGCTATTGACCTCAACACAAGCACACATTCTGACTCAGTTAAAATAATCATCTTCGACTGATGGATTGTCTTTTCAGGACATTATCCTCACAACAATTTACACATGGCCATTTCAAAAGCAATCTCCATCTCCACCTTCAAACCCGCGCTCGGTTTTAAATGGCTGTTTTCTTATACTGACCCTGTGAACCATCGTTTGTCGCCACTCACAGGTGATAGACGCCACCAGTTTACCTCTGGTAAAATAATGGTGACAAACGTGGGCTGTTTGTTTTATAAGGCATCATGAAATATAGCACTCGTTCATATTATAACACTGTGTGCGTGTTATTGATAGCCTTCAATAAACACCTTCAAAACAGAAAGGCATGATCTAATATTATGGGCAGACTGTATCATGGGGGGGTTGGTGTCATGGAGGTCCCTCCGAGTTTCATTACTCACTGATGAAAGAAAAGCAATACTGAGGGTGTCAGTGTGTGTGTTGGTGTCTCGGCCAAGGAGGGCAGGAAGGTTGAGTCATGAATCCTAACAGAAACTGGACAAATGAGCCATAAAGTCCTGCTCTTCCTCACTCAGTGTTCTCTTGATGGCTGCTTCAGGATTTGATGCTTTTTCTTGTGCGAGTAAAACCAAACACACACACACACACAGACTTTCAGTACACACTAATCCCCTTTCCCCTTTCCCGTCATGCCTCAAACTCAGGTTTTATCCCTCCGTCATTACACCCACAGAGCCTTTGCTCACACATCCCTCACACATCGAGCACCTTGTTTCATTTCACATGCGTACATGCATCTCTGCCCTTTGGCGGGAGTTTTTTTTTTTTCCCAGATGCTTTGTTGTGTCTGTGAGCGTGTGGGAACATACGCTGTGCGAGCTGTGGGTGGTGGGTGGAAAGCAAATGTGAATAGAGATTTCGCCACGCTCCTTCCAGCTGGCTTAAAAATATCCTGAGAATTTAATGACACCCTGCGAAGGCATGCTGGGCTGCTTGAATCTGTGCTGTGCTGCTGAAGGTTTTGCTGATCAGTCCTCATACTGTGTTCTTGTTTCTACACATACATCTTTACTCGTTCGTAAACCTTTGTTTGGACAGTTCAATAATTTGGGAACTACAATAAATTTGTTCACTTTATTTACAGGCAAACAAGAAAATGGACACTGTGTTAGGCGATGAGGGGAGTATCAATACAATTAAACCCAGGGAACAAAAGTAGGAACTAAATATTAGCGAATCTTAAAAATGATTTATGAACAAACTTAAGACAAATGTTCAACACAAAACAAAAGAAAAGCCAATTTGCTTTAAAGCAAAAAGTCAGAAACACACTCAACAAAACAAGTTATGTCTGTACGGATAATATGAAGGTAAAGCAGCAGCTAGGTAGATTAGCTAGTTAGCATAGCTTAGCAGAACTGGGGCGCAGTTCTCTAAAAGTAATCAGATCGGATTTATGCTTTTGGATAGTGGATTACCAAATTCGGATCAAACCAGAATAAACCTTAATTCAACCAGGGGAGAACCGCTTAAGCCTGACTCTGTTAATGACTCTGCGGGTTAATGTATTCACTTTTTCTCCGAGTCAAGTCTATTCTAACGGAGCTAACCAGCGGCTGGCTTTAGCTTTACATTAACCATACAAACATCTCACTAAGCAGTATAGCAATAAGGGTATCGAAGGGTTGATAATATTCAGTTTTAGCCAATATCAAGTATGCTGTTATTTTCCAGCTTATTTTGGCCTATTTGCCGTTTCCAATTCTGAAATATGCACATATATTTCCATCTTAATGCAGTCACCTTAAAGTGGAATTAGCATAAAGCCTAATCTTGTGGCGGTCCAGAGAAAGAAGCACACAAGAAGTACAATGCTTTTCGAACTCTACACACTGTCACTGAACAAGAAAACTACTTTGGTTACATGTGAAAAAAAATGCCATCGTTTTTTCATTGAACAATTTGAAAGGGGGCATATTGCCACCTAGTGTTCAGTAGTGTGTATTGACTTAGATTAGATCAACTGAATTGCTGATGGCTCCTGTCTCCAGACAGAGTAGTCCATTTGAAAGTCTTCATCTGCAGATCATTTTGTGTATTACTGGACATATTTCCCCCAAATTTCAAACTATTCCTTGAATCACAAACTTTCTACTACAATTCTACAATTCACTTAGCAGACGCTTTTATCCAAAGCGACGTACATCAGAGACACTGAGTCACCTGTTAGTAAAGAAATCACAGTGAATTATTAGAAACAGATGATGTTAAAAAAGACATAATTGATCCCTCAGGATCGTAATTCCTTGGGGAACGTATTGATTTTCTACATGCATGAACTTACAGTGACCTTTATATAGTCCTCTTCTGGGTTTTCACTCACCATTAGTGCTTTCATGTGAATGATCATTTGTGGGTGTCACTTTCCTCCTCTTCCTCAGGTACCTCAAGCCAGATGTTCATAAGAAATCAAAGCACAAAACGGCGGTCATCAAAAAGACTCTCAACCCAGAGTTTAATGAGGTAGACTTGCATGTTTGTGCATGGCAGCTCATTTATGCTCCCGCAGTCCTCGGAGACACTGCATGCAAAGTTTCTGCAACCTATTTGTAAGATGGCCAATTACTTGTGAATATTTTTATCCGCTGCCTCATTAGTGCAGAGGTTTATAGGCAAGAGCAACATGTGAGTTGGATATGACCTTTGCATCCTTTCCCTCCTTTGTTTTTCTCTCTCAGGAGTTTTTCTATGAAATCACCTTCTCAGAGTTAGCCAGCAAGACCCTGGAGGTCACGGTGTGGGACTACGACCTCGGAAAGTCCAACGACTTCATAGGTGAGAGGTCACAACAGACACACGCAGCTAAGGGCTGCCCTGATAGTGCTTTTGTGATTACTGATAAATAGACTGGCTGTTTAATGAGCCGTTGAATAATGTTGTACCCATAGCAGATGTTAGCTGTCATCTGATCAGTCTGCTGGAGTGAAATTGTTAGGATTGGATGCAAGGAAAGGATGGTTTTGACATTTGGAAGTATAATTTTACCATGGTATAGTTTTTCTATAACTTCATGTATTAACAAATCCTGTGTTTGTCCGTCTCTGTCCATGGCCAGCTTCTTTTTACAGGTGTTCATCTTCAACAGACTCCAAAAGTAGTTTCATTTTTTAAGAAATCATTGACTCCTTCAACAGTTGTCTGTAGAAATGAAACTTCAAATGCAATTATCAAACAGAACTAACCTATTTCTGTTCATATGATTGTGTAATTAACACTTTTTGGTCAAAAACCTATATCCAGTTTGAACTCGTTTAAACTGAATCTCTTCATTTGTCCCTTTTTGAAAAAACTACAAGTAGAGTTTAAAAGAAGAACAGACCTTGTAACAGAGTACTATCTGAGGAGGTCTTTTTTTTATCATTGTGCTCAGTTTTAATCTCCAAAGTTTAATTAAAAAATACAATATTGAATTTAGTGAACAAAGTTGGTTATGCGCGCGGATTGATGACATGGTGATGATGATTCCCTTTAAAGTGCTATCTAAAAACACATTTTGAAATGACACTTTTGATTTGTTATAAAATGATAACAACATTTCTTCTCTTTTGGTTTCACTTCTCTATTTATTTATGTATTTAAGTAATTACTACACAGTTGGAGGGAAAGAAAAAACTAAATGTGCTAAACCTGAAATTTGAAAAAGCTGGGGTTGTTCTTATTTGTTGATTTCAATTGTATTTTTTTTGGGGGGGGGGCTTTTTATACCTTTATTAGAGATAGGATAGTGGATAGAGTTGGAAATCAGGGAGAGAAAGAGTCGGGATTGACATGCGGGAAAGGCGCTACAGGTTGGATCTAAATCTGGACGCCCACTTTGAAGACTATAGCCTCCGTTCACGGGGCGCACGCACTAACTACTCGGCCACGGGCCCCCCAATTTCAATTATATTTTTCACCGTTAAACTGTGACATAAATTCTCCGGTTAATAAAATTCATTCTTAGACTTCGCTGTGTAATCAAGCTCCCCTGCGGTGCCTCAGGTGATGCCTGAATACAAGTCACGCTCTCTTACTTTCCAGGTACTTTACCAGCCTCTATGAAGGTCATCAGTGTCTGTCCCACAGCGTGGAAATGTCAAACCCCTTCTCCCCTCGAGGAAATAAATACCGACAATTAGGCCACTTTTTTTTAACATGCTCTTTCCCTTCACCTCACACTTACTTCCTGTGCGGTCTCTGCTCTGGTCAGGTGGTGTGTCCTTTGGGTGCCACTCACAGGGAGAGACTCTGCAGCACTGGATAGACTGTCTGAAGAACAAGGGCAAGAAGGTGGAGCGCTGGCACACTCTGACCAATGAACTGCCCGGATCGAGCCTGCAGGAGTGAACTGATCCTTCCTCACTGCGCTCTGACACCGGAGAGGCGGCTAAAGACTCAGGATGAGGGACGATTCATCGCATGCTCTGAGGAATGTTCTGCATGACTATGATGAGGATTCACATCCATCTTACTTTGTGTCATAAATGAGATCGTAATTCATAACACAATGCGCCCAAAGGGGTCACAGTCAAGCATCAATACCGCAATCTTGGATTTGAATAGAGTTGATGCAAATGTGGGGAACGCGTCCTCAGCGTAAAGCTAACAGTGTGAGAATTTTCATAATGATATTCATAGAGATCCATGTCTCTTTTGTTCATTTTTTTGGTAATCTAAATGCTCCTCTGTGCGGCTACAAACTGGTCAGATCTCAATCAACGGGAAAAAATTGAAAACGTGCAGAAATATAATGAAGAATTTAAAATATTCTGCCTGTTATTTTCATTCCAATTCATCCACCGTCCCCCGTTGCACACACCTCTCCTTTGCAATAATGTTTTGCTGAATGCTTCCGAAGATTTCCAAGTGGTCTTAAGGATGCCACAGAGTTTGTATCTGAGATTGATCTGATTGCCACTGGATGGTGTGCAGACAGCACAGCCCAATAATAGAGTTGGCTCTTCCATGTTGTTGTTGTTTTTGCATGTTTGATGTCGATGGTTCAAGCTATAAGACAAAGATGTGCTGCAGGAGGAAATCACTGTTCCCCAATCCTCCAGAGGAAGAGATTGTTAATTACATTGAAGGGTTGCCACTTGTTAGTGTTGTTCACAGTTGTTTCTCATGTCAACTCTAATAAACAGTGTCAGTTTCTCTTAGTGACACGCTGATGTTGACATGTGTTTGCTTCTTAATCCCTGGTGTATATGGAACAGTACAGAGGTGTAATTAACAGGAAGGTTTCAGAGCAGAGAGATGGATATTGGGGACAGCCATGCATTGTAATATCTAAATTACTCTGTTGAATATCTAAATTACTAATATGTACTGAATGGTGTGTAGAGCACAGTGTTGTGTGATGACTCTCCATGCTGAAGGTTGTATCTGTGCTGGGTCTCATGTTCTCAAAGAGACATGCCAAAAACACTAACGGTGTTTACATGTAAATATATCTATTGTGTTTGCTTTGGATGTTTGTCTTTTGGAACTTCAGGTGTGCATGCCTGTTTGATTTTTTTCATAAAATATTCATTTTGAATTGTTGTGTGAGTTGCTGATTTATTTCATTATATTTGATACATGAAGGGGTGGGGAGGAGATGGGATGAAGTAGTATTTTTCAGTCTTTTCTGTAAACATACAGCACAGTGGAAATCCAGTAAAGCCAACACTGCCACCTAGCCTTTAGGATCCGCAACTGCAGCAAGGGTGAAAAAAAGAAAATAATCAACAGCATCAGAGTTGGTTTAACGCCCACATGATTAAAGAAAGAACAAATTAAAGATGATTGGTCAAATTAACATAACCCTTTAGTCAATAAGTGTAACCTTTCAAAACTATTCCATGAGCAAGATAATTATTAAACACTTAATAAATACTGCATTTATACATCAAACAGAAAATGTTAACAGAAATATTTGATCACCTGATGTGATGTGACTTGAATTTTCACAATTTCAGATTTCAAGTTTCAGAATGCATCTTTAAGTAGTTCAGTCTGTCGGTCAGATATGAACGAAACAGTTGTAAAAAACAGGATAAAAATCAAGTTCAGCCCATTTTGTTCCTCTTATTCATGGCAGAATGGAGAATGATGATGATTGGACGGACTTTTTGGTGTCTAAACATCTTCCAAAGACAAAACACTTTCACTTGACTAGAATTAGAGACACTTTAAAATATGTTATCTCATTCTCTCGCTGTGATCGTTATATCTGCTGCTTTGAATCATCATTAACACTTAAAGTCTTCATCAGACAAACATGTATCTTTTTCTGTATCTATTTACTCAGTTAAAACACAAATTAACTATCTTTTTAAAAATAAATAAAAGTTAAGCATCTGTGCTTTGTTATTATAAGAACTTATTTTTAGATTTCCTCCTTCAGTCTAATTGAAATATTGCTTTTGTAAAAGTGATCAAGCTAAATCACTGACAAAGAGATTGGATTTCTTCTTTTATTGTTTATTGATTTGTTCCCACAATGCCGCAATAGGCAGTTGGTTTTTAGCACTCTCTATTGATCTAGTTTCATTTGACAAAAAAGGTCAAAGGTCATCACCAGTGTCAGGACATCAGGGTGTTTGTTATGATGCTGCTCAGACTCGTAGGTCAAGGACGAAGCTCGGTTTGGATATTTAATAGAAAAACTACAGAAGTTCATTTTTGCTGCAGAGTTTGTGATTATTTTGAACTTCTCGTGTATCCTGAGTGGGAATTAAGCTTTTTATGGAATCAGAGAAGGCATCTCTAGTTTCATCTTAGTCACTGTTTGTCCGTCACTCTGCTATTGGTCAGACTGACAAACACTGCGACATCTGTCCTCTGCAGATCCTGACACTGCACTTACTGTGGGAACAAAGATAATCAGTAAGTAGCATGGACAAAACTACAACATATGACATCATTTAATTCAAGCTTCCTTGCGTAGAACAGACATTCAGATATTATCACACACTTTATGATCTGTGACTTCTTTGGTGATCTTCTGTCTTTCCTCTGGCTCTACCATGTGGTTCACTTGGTGGTTTCAAGGAAAATATCTCACAAACTATCACTGCCATGAAATGTGTGCAGACTTTTAAGCCCCAACAGCATAAATTGTAAAAACATGAATCATCAGGTCAAACTTTGAGTTCATGACAGAATTATTTCAAAACTAATAACTACCGTTTCCATCAAGGTAACTTTTAAAGCAAGAGTTTTTCCAGCACACTAAACTGCATGGTGAACTTTGTGGACATTAAAATCGTTTAGCATCATCAGGTAGGCTTGCTAATGTATGCGTTTAGCTTAAATGACCTCTGTGCAAACAGCCTCAGAGATCTGATGATGATATGTAATTATGTGACAACAACTTTAATAAGATGAAAACCCCAGAGCCATCAAGTTTAATCAATTGAGTCTATAGAACATGGTTGGCAAACTAAGTGGGGCCAACTCTGGCATTTAACTCTCTCTCTCTATCTCTCTCTCTCTCTCTCTCTCTCTCTCTCTCTCTCTCTCTCTCTATAGCTGATAAGTTTGAGGTTCTGTGGACTCCTATTGAGAGTGTTTATGGTAACACAGATACAAAACACAGTATGAGCTCTAGTCTAAGTGTGATGTAAAGCTTTTCACATTCAAAGGTCTAATCTTGTATTCACTTTAGGACATTGCTAGAGGACTGTCCATTGATTTAAACTGAGATTAAGCCTACTGTAAAAAATGGACAGGTACGTTTAAAAACAGTAAATATTCTTTCTTTTTTTTAACTTTCTGCATCAGAAATAATATCAAAGATAGACTTTAGTGACAAAGATGTTAGATGACATTCAATTGATTCACAACTGAAAGAAGAATTTATCAGACATCATGTGATGACATTAAAAGACGATAAAGGAATTACTACAAAGTCATTTTCAATGTAATTACTTTTCTATTGATGCAGACAGATTCTAACATAGCTGCCAATAATAAAAAGGGTAGTGATGTTTAATCTGGGAGGATTACTCCAAAGGTTAAGCAGATTTGTGGGAAACCACAGACATTTATTTAAACCAATCGACCATGTCCTCCCACAGGGACAAGTCCAGCAATACTGCTGATTGAGAAAACACAATATGGATAAGGGTAAGAGCTACTGTTAGAGCAACATGTCACACGATAACCATCTGTCTGTGGCTAATGCTTTGAAATGGTTTGATTTTAATAAACCAAAGAAAATATGTCTTTACTTTTGTACATGTTATCAAGGCTATACTCGGACGTCCACTAACTCTAAGTATTCCATCTGAAGTACTTTTTCATGCGTTTGTCTTTACTGCTGCGATGCCACTTATAGACAGAGGATGAAAAGAGGAAGAAAAACACCATGATACAAAATAGCTCTTTGAAACTAAGACAATCTGAGCGCCATGGTGGAAATATTAAAGTGATGTTACTTCACAGAAAAAGGAGCCTTCAATTCTCTCTGTTCTGTAAAGAAGTTTCCATTTAATAGACATTCATGAACACTTTACTGTCACCTAGCCCACACTGTTATGAAGAGGTAGCAGCTAGCACAGATTGCTTACATGTGACAGTAGATATAAGGAGTATATTGGGCCAAATATCATCCTTGAGCTCACATTATTAGTCAAGATCTGGAGAAAACAACAAGACTTTCTTGTGAATCAAGTCTAAGAATGCATGTTTGCCTATGGGGCTTCTGTTATTCTCTCTGTTTCCATGCAACATAAAATGAATATAGTGTTGCTGTCCTTCTTTTGTATATTCAGGAGTTAAGGATTTGACATCAATTAATAAGGTTAAATAATTCACTGATGACATATTGCATTAGTTGTTGATGATTTGTTAAGACAAAAGTAAATGTAGATTCATTTAACAAACTATACCGTCAGTGAAATTGGAAGTTTTTGTTAAACACTAGTGATGAAGAGACTGAAAGGTGAATTTGTTTCTCAAGGAAACTCAGTTCTGACATTTCTCTTCAGGATTCACGTGTCAGATTAAGAAATGTAAAATTCACTACATGATTAGCTACATAACAAATAAACATTTTGGAACACTGCTGTTAAAACTCTGATTAAAATTCCCAAAAATGTAAATTTCTAAAAATGCCTCTAATTTCAAACCTAACCTCTAACCTAGCAAAGATTCAGCAAGATTCCAGAATTTTGCACAAAATATTCCAAAACATTTTTTAAATAAAGTTTCTCAAAGTTCCTGGAAATGTCCAAACGCAAATTGGGAAATTTTCAGGAATTACCTCAAAAAAATCCTGCAAACTGCCAGTTGAAAATTCCTGAAAACTAATGGGGAAATCGAAAATGTTTGAGGAAAAGTTTCCTAAAAGAATATTTCAGACCTGCATGTGAGACTCAAATGTTTCCAGGAATTCCTCAAAGTGCGGGATAAATCCTAGAAAATAATCTTACAGGAAAATAACCAAAAATTCCTCACCAAATAGTAACATTTTGGGGCAAATTCCAGAAAATTGCTGTGAATTTCAGAATGACATTCAAGCCAAGTCTAGGGAAACATTTTGGAATGTTTCAAAAAATTCCAGGACAAATTATTTTAAAAGATCCTGAAAATTTCCAATGAAACTTCATGAGAATCTTAAAGGATTTTTTTCTTCTTTTTTCTCTCTCAAAAAGAGCCTAAATATCATGAACACTTCTAGAAACTTCTTATAATATTCCTGAAATTTCCACAAATTCCAACAAAAGTTCCTTTGTATCTCTCTAAAACTTCTGGAAATATTGTTAAACAGAGTCATTTTTTAAAAGAAATTAAGAAATTCCTGAAACTTCCAACAGTAATTTAGAGAATTTCTGATGAAAGTTTCTGAAACTTCAAATGAACGTTACCTGTAATTCCAACAAAATTTTCAACAAATGTTTGAAAATATCTCACAAAAATACCCCAAAATCCCCTCTTCATCAGTTTTATTTTTAAGCACTGATTCCCTCAGGAAATCTAGAAGCCACTGATACCGCAGTATGGCCCCAGGTCAGTTATTTTTAGTCTCATTATGTTGTTATTTTCTTCTCATACTGACAGGATGATTGTGATGCATCCAAACACTCCCAGGCTGACTCACTGCCTCAGTGTTTATATGACCCAGCTGGATTATCCCTGACCCACTTACTGCAGCTGGATGTGTCCCTGTCTGATGTGCTGATCCCTTCATAGCCCTGTTCACTATAGACCTCCTGTTAAATTAGCTGACTACAAAATAAATTACCTTTTGCTGTCAGAACAGTTACATTGGCAAAGGGGAATTTGCTGTTGTCAGATGTTGTGTTTGCAGTAATATTTCTTCTACTGTTGATTTTTTTTCACTTTGACCTCTAGAAATCTTGTTCATACAGAGAAGGACAGGTTATTTAAAAAAAACATTTTTTTATTTCTAATAAGTATTTGACAAGGACTCTCTTCATCTTATAATGGAAATTATTTAACTGTTCCTTTCCATGACATGCATTAAAACATAGCTTAACTCCCAGTAAATTACATTGTTCTTGTGAATGGTGAAATGTTCAATTCATCATAGACTTAGCTGTTATCTTTATGTTGTATCTATTTTTTGTTTGTTTGTTTACAACATTTTATTTTAAATTGTAAAAGAAAGAAAAAGGTTTCTTACAATGTTTCTAAATGCCTTTATATACCTCAGCATGTCGTGTTTGTTCAACTAATGATCAAAAACTTCTAGATGATGAAATTACTACAAAGCAAGGGAAAGGTCATTAGGCAGATTTGAGCTGATATGGCTTTTTGAAATCACAATAACAGCAGGATTGATAGCCAGGGTCTTTGATCCAGACATAAATTGTTCAAAGAGGATTGATCTGTGTGACTTTTGTTAGATTTTGGCTTTTCAAGAGCCTCACCTGTTTGCAAATTTTTGATTGTACACCTTCCTTTTTTCTAGATTTATTTTTGGGCTTTTTGTTCCTTTATTGTATAGATAGGAGAGTGGAAAGAGTCGGATATCAGTGAGAGACAGAGAGAGAGAGAGAGAGAGAGAGAGAGAGAGAGAGAGAGAGAGAGAGTGGGGATTGGCCAAAAAATATTATTATAACAAATTATTTATTTTATTGAATAATTCCTCTAACAGTTTAGCTAACCTGAGTTTTTAATACAACTTTATAATTTGTTATGAATTGGTGCTAAAGGCCTAAATAAAGATTGAATGATGGATTGAGTTGCCAATCCTAAGTGTTTTCATTCCTTCACTGTCATTATTAAAACAAATACTAATATATGTTTTATATCATATTTACAGACTTCTCATTTTCCATTCACGGTTCTTGGTGATATTGCTGAATGTTTGTCTTTGACTTGGTTGAGGTTATCTGGAGCTTTAGCTGCTGATTATTCAGTGTATATATATTCTTGGCTGAGTACAGTTCCTTGGCTTCTTACAGCGTATTGCTCTTCCTGCTGTCATCACTTCACTGCCCACCAACAGTGTGCGTTTCAAATCCCTGCAGCTTACACTCTATCACTGAACGAACAACTACAGCACGTTAATACTTTCCTGGGTTTTTTTCTTCTTCTTTTGGCTCTGCAAATCTCTCTACAGTTTTCCTAAAGCTCTCAGGATAACTTTCCCTTCTGACAATCATTCTCCCTAACGACAAAACCCAACTCTCTTTAATCTGCTGCTCTTTGATCACTTTAAAACAACAATGAAAACAGTTTGCATGCATTGTGTCTTTATTATGAATGTGCTGCAGAATTATAATATTCCAAGTGCCAGCCTATCTTTGTCATTTTCAATTTGTATCATTTTACATGAATAAAAAACCCACAACATGCCAATAACCACAAAGATTATAGAAGCCCCATGGTAATACAACGACTGTCTGGAGGACAGCTTGTGTGCCTATGTTAGATCCAAACTACTTGATGCTAACTCATACCAACTAGAGAGTTATCACAATAATAAGATCTATATCTGCAGAACACATCAAATGCTGATTACAATTAAATGTACATATTAAGTACTAACAGAGGGAGAGAAATGCCACATTCATCTTTACAAAATTGTCTGCAGGTGTGACAAGACTTTGAGGTTGTGGTGTTTCTGTACATGATTTAAAATCCAGTATAAAGCAGATAAATAGCATTTGACCCATTCTTGATGTTTCAGTTCACAGTGAGCATGACAGGTAGATAAAGATTAGAGGTTAGTTAAGGACACACAGGAAATAGAACAATAGATAGAAACCAGATTGAAACCCATGAAAGCATTTTACCTTTAACCTGTGGTTTACAGATTCACCTTGTAGAGAAGGAATCCTCCTTTGGATGGCAACTAAACAGGCATAGTAAGAGTGGTGGCTGCTATATATTTAAGGGGTTGTTATTGGGGGGTGGGGTGGGGGGGGGGGCACACTGTCTGCTTTGAAAGCTCAGGCTAGTGAGACTCTGAGGCTACAGCCACAACTCTGTTTGCAATCACAAAGCTATTAAATTTGTTAACCAAATACGATCTCCCTGTACATACAATACTTCCACCACCTGTCATCTGCAGGGCAGCCTTTCAAAAGCATCCTGTTTCATAATCCTGCTAGTTTCAAAATGTTTTACAAATATTATCAAAAGTTTATATATGACGTAGCATAACTAGCTTCTTTGTAAAAACAATTATGCTTGTTTTTTTTTTGCTACAGAGGGTTTTTTTTTGGTGAACGTGTACCCTTCCCCCCGGCTCACAGTGGTCACATAGAAAGGAAAAGGTGCAGCAGAGCAAAAAAACACGTTTTGATGTTCCTCTCTGCAACAGCAATTCTGTGATTAGAGTTGGGTCTTCTTTACAAAGCAAGAACATTTCCCTCTAAATTCTTTTTTTTTCCCTTACAGTTCTTCCTTACAGTGATGACTGTGACATGTGTGTGAGACTTTTCATAATCCCTTTCGTTTTAGCACTCACAGCTAGTCCTTGGTAAGCCTCTATTTCATGCTCTTTTACCAACCGTACGCCCGCTCTCAAACACAAGAAGACATGGGATTTAGAGAAGTGAGTCTCAAACAAAGTGATGCAGAGTGACATTTGGTTTTTCCATGTGAGGGATGAATTTCTTGCTCTGTAATTCCAATGAGGCCCCAAATTTCCAGAGCCTCTCCACGTATCCGAGGAGATTTAACAGGAAGCTGACACTCTGATAGGTCCAGTCCAGGCGGATATTTGGTTGGTACTTCTATGTGGAGCTGAAGTTGGGAGGACACTTTGTACCCCATCCGTTGGTCTTTGAGCTTTCTAGTCCACCTCTCTCTGAGTCCCTTCTGACTGATGAAAGAATTCTCAAAGAGTTTTTTTTTTTTTTTCTGTGTCTTTCTCGAGAATCGTTCTGAATGTGTTGACCAGAATACAAAGGGACTGATTAGACTGTCTTCTCCCTTCTCACCAGACGGACAACCCCCTTTTCCCCACCCTTCCCCACCCCACCCCACCCGGCCAACTCAGAGCAGCAGCATTTGCATATTTTATTTTCCTCCATTAACAAAAGGGATTTATATAGATTACAGAGATATAAGTAAGCACTGTATATCGGGTGCATATTTGTCACACATCCAGGTAATGACTAGGCGGTAAAGACGGTGGTGCAGGTGCGGGCCGGATGGTCAGTTTTCAGCCTTATCCAGTTTCATCCTGGGATGAAACTCAGGTTTTCACATTTACTAAAAACAGAAAAGGAAGCGTATTAGATGAAGAGCTATACATTCTGCAACTTAATATGGATGTATAAACTTTCATAGACCACAGAGGACAGTTATATAACGAGAAAAAAACAAAACAAGGATTGTTAAGTCCCAGAGCGTCTAAACTCAACTTTAATGTGTGCACAAATGCTCTTCTAGTCATTAAGTGAATTAGTCCATCACTTGGCTTAATGAGACCCAACAGGCTGTCACTGTGTGCATTCAAGTCACACCAGCTTAAAGAATCATTTAACTGACTGACCCTTGATTCATGTGTTTGAATAAACTGTAAGAGTAATGCAAAACACACATACTATTCCCTTTCTTTAAAAGTTCTGTAATCAGAACCCTTTTATTTGCCAGGTACAATAAATCATTAGTGAGCAGATCAACAACTCACACGCTGACATACACTTTATGTAAGTATACATATCATACAGGGACAACAATGACTTCACTTTTTTTTCTTTTTTCTTTCTTTTACAAGCAAACAGAGCAAGGCATACAACAGACACGGACTACACATATTTCACTCTACAGTTACACAAACAGCGGTCTGAGGCATGCATTCAGTTACAGCTGGAGGCCACCCTGTGGGAATGGAGAAACATGTCAGAAAATGTAGATTTGACCGGCGCAAATGTGATTAATATGTTCTGATCTTTGTGCAGCGTTAGTTCCTGAAGGCTAAAGTGCTGCAGTGTAAAAAGACTCGTGCAGGCTTGGGAACTGGTGGAAAAATTGTGCAAACAGTGACGTTAATAATATCATTGGTTACAGTCAGACTGTGCTAACACAGCTACATGTCATGTTGTGATGATATAAACAGTGACAGTAGTAGGTTGGAGCAGCTGGATCAGGATTGAGGACACACACACAAAAAAAAAAAAAAAAAAAGGAGAGTTCAAGAGGACGTTTGAGCTGTGCAACAACTACACAGAAGGTAAAAGAGTTGAGGTTACGGTTTAAAGGTCAGATTTGGGACACTCACTGGCCAGGTTGACAATGCAGGCGATGATAATGACCGTCCCTCCTACTAGTGACACCATGGAGAGCATCTTAGCCACTCGTCCGAGGCGCACGGCTCCATCCAGGTTCCCCTGCTCCAGACTGTTCTTGGACTGAAGTAGAGATTCAACCGTTAGCATGATTACAGTGTTTTTGTTTGCTCAAAGTCATTTACCAAAACTCGAGAGCACAGCACGACTGATATACTACACAGCAGACATTATTGGGCCAATGTGGGCCTTTGACAGATGTATCATAAAACACCATTAATAATAATAGTTAGAAAACAATGCTATGGAGTAATCATGAAGCTTGTCAAACCAATTAGGTCCCAACTTTATGGTTTACAATACTCTAAGCACGTGCTGCACTGGTCTGCACTGCAGTTAATATTAATGCAAAATCCCCATACAAGCTGTACAGGACTCCATATTGGTATAGGATTTAATATGAGTGTTGATTGATTTAACATCAAAACAAAAAACATGGACGGTCAGTCTCTCTGGACAGCAGGCTGAAGGTCCTGTTCTTACCATGATGGAGTAGACAAATCCCACGATGTTGATGGGCCACACAGGGCAGAAGCAGGCCAGCACAGACAGAAGGAGGTAGTCTTTGACTTTGGTGCGGTCCAGAGGTGGGTTGGTGGCGATGCTGGAGTGTCGAGAAAGTGACGGCCTGGGTGAGAAGGCGGTGTAGCCGATAGAACTCGCCCTGCTCCCCTTCCTAGTCTTGCCATGATGGGGGTAGGAGATGGAGTGCTGTCTTCTGGGAGGGGAGGAGATGACTGGAGAGGAGCTCTCAGTAGGTGTTTGGTGGATCCCATTACCTACACATGAGGGACGAAAAAAAGGACGGGGGACTGTTTGAAACGCTGCAGGAGCTCAATGTGCATTTGCCATCCCAGGAGCGTTTTCATGCACTGCAGTTTGACTTGCCCGCTGTGAGCTGACTAAGCAGATGTACGATCCCCCACCTATCTCCCTCCACCAACCCAGTATCTTATTATAAGGTCAAACTCAGTCACTTACTGTTCTTCAGCTTCTCGTTGATCACTATCACTAGCTCTCCTTTGGATTTGCTGCGAGGGGGTCTTGTGCTGGCTGGGCTGCTGTGGATGAGCTGGTCACCGCTGACTGGTTGGCCCTGCAACGAGGCGGGGGCTTGGCTCGACAGAGAGCCCTCCTGGTCCAGCAGAGACGGCTGTTCTTCCCCTGGCCATATGTCAGGGCCTGGCATCATGTTTACAGCCATGCTGAGAGCAAAATCAAGCCTCTGTTTGTGGTCTGGTCCTGTGTGTGCTGCCTGTAGTTACACATGGGGGACCAGAAGTGGGTTTAGCCATTTTAAACTTAAGCTCTTCCCTCCAAGCTGCAAGAGACTTCATTTAAATTAGTGAGGTGGGCATAGGAATGTGAAAAGAAGTAAATAGTGACTTATTTATCATTTATAAAAGGGTCATGTTTTTCTCATTGCAAAGTTAGATAACATTTCTCTGAAAAAAAAAAAACAACTTCAAAATTTTTAAAAAATTGTATGCAAAACGTATCATAAGGAGTGTATTCTCAGTATATTGTGTCTACATCAGGGGCTATTTGTCCTAATTCAAATCAGGTTGAGGCTACTGTGCCATTATCTACATTTTGAGGAACGGCCCAGACTTTGCAAATCCAAAATGAGATCACCATTAATTACAAAGAGCTAAATGTTTTTTTTTCACTCGCCTCATGTAGTTCTAGTTAACACTTGGTTTAAAATCGCTTTGATGGTTTCAATATATTGTTTTGTTAATTCTCGCCCCATTCCTGTTGACTGATTTGGCTGCTATGTAAAAGATATACTATTATTATTAAAGGCACAGTGTGTCATTTCAGCAACGAGGTCTCTCAAACAAAAAAGAACAAAAGACGCAGTTTGACGACTTTGGAAGTGCTGGATCAAGGACATTGTTGTCATTGTCAACGACCAATTATTGCAAATAAATCCATGTGATTTTACTTTGTGCAGTCTTATGTTGAGTATAGGCATCTATATTCATGTTTTTTTCATTAATTCTAAACAATATATGCAAGTTTTGACAATAACTTAAAAACTATGATAACTAACGCCCTCATCCGTTTCCCAGAAAACAGGAAACTAAATGAACGTGCCGTTACCTCATAGATTAACAGATATATAAGATAGGAACATTCTTGAAAAGATTTCAGATACCAAAGTCTCTCGGGGAGCCGTTTAACTCATTTGAAAACATCGTAAAGAGCCTGAGAGTGAACTGTGACAAATGTAAATTAGAAAACACAGCCACTACTATCAGCAGAATCTCTAGTGATTGCGTTGCATCGTGGGTAATTTAGGCGCCAGGTATTGATTATAAGATTAAATGGAATAAATAAAGCATACGTCTTGCTTACATTTGGGCAAAAGCAGGAATTCTGGAAATGATTTCATAATGTCAGTATAGTATCATAGTGGCATGTATATTTTATTGAGGCATGAGGGGGAGGAGGAGGGGGGGGGATTGCATTTGTTATTCTAAGTCAATGTGAGGTCCAAGGAAAATGGAGGGCCACACTTTCAAAAAATGTGAACCTTTCAGCACACTACTCTCACAATGATGAACCTGAAAGTAGTCTTGAACCCTGTTTAGGCTCAATGTCACTTTAATCCTCTTTTAATAATCCACTTCCATTATTTGTTAAATAACTCCTTACGTCATGTTCATCAGTAAATAAAGCGAGTGAGGGTAAACAGATGAAATCCACACATGTTCCAGTGCAAACCAGTCCTCCATCACGGCAGATTATTAAAACAGCAAACAAGCAAGGGAAAAGGTGAGAACAAAAAGCAGGTCACAATGACTCGAGGAGCACAAAGGCATGGCAGATGGAGGCAGGTGTGTACATACCATTATTTCATCGTGTGGACACAGGCTCATTGTGGCATATGGAGGCCGTGATGGGCCCAGAACAAAAGGTAAAAGGAGAACGGACAAGTAATAAGGGTGATTACAAAAGGGGGAGATTGTCAGACAGACGGGTGAAGGAAGGGGACGGAGAGGAGCATTAATTATCTGCTGGGGGTTTGAATTCAGTGTCTTGTGGGCTGCCACCAAGAAAAAAACAAAAAACATGCTTTTAAATGAAAACAAAACCACACAATAGGAGTAGATATACGCGATGGTTGGTTGTGCATTTAAGGCATCAAATAAAGGGAAAGAAAAAGAGGTCATAAAAGATAAATCACACTGACCTTTTTAATTCCGTGCCTGTTTCAATTCAGCCGGAGCGTCCCTGGTTTTTGCATCGTGGTAACGTTATTCTCAAAACCCCCCAGAATCAGGCAGCATCTCTAAAGCCACGATGTATTTGCAAACAATGTCTAAAAAAAAAAAAAAAAGAAGAAAATCTGTGGAAAATCCCGTTGCTTTGTCGTAAATGGAGCCGGAGAGTGAGTGTTTGTGGCGCCGTGTTGCAGCGCAGAGTGCTGAGGAGGAGAGATGGATGGTGGGGGAGGCTCCTGGATGTCAGGGTGGATCACAGAGGAGGGGGTGTGTGTGTGAAATGGAAAGTGAAATCCACAAGACTACGTGATGTGGGAGGGAGGAAGGAAGGAGACAGTGGATTGAAGCATCCTCCTTCCTTCACCCCGAAACATGCATGCTCCAATATTCTTATTTCTGTCCTCTGATGCTGCCGGGGATTTAAAAAGGACATCCCCTTCCCCGCCGTAGAGAAGGACACGAGTTCATAAATGAACTCAATATAGGGTTTCAACACAGAAATGGGCTGTTACGTCTCTGACTGAGCGTTTATGGTTCAGGGTAACTGTTATGAAGGGCCATAAGATGTGATATTGACCATAAGATGTATGCATGACCATGAAATAAACAGTCAAATATGCTATGTCATTTAAAAAATTTTATTAAAAGCAGTGGTACGCCACCAGCTGGAGCAGAGTGGCAACTACAAAAACAGAATTAAAACCAAGCATAAAATAACAAATAAAAGTCTTTGAGTAACAATTTATATACATAACACAGGATATAGCTAAAGTAAAACAAGATCATTTCCCCATGGCACTCAGGATGTTTGTCTGGAAGAGAAAAAAGAAACTAACATTAGAACCAAGTGAACACAAGACTAATCCAAAAGCTTCATAATATGGTTTTACATCCAGCCAGAGTCAGCAGCCATTAAGAGGCCGTACCAGGACACAGAGAAGCTTTCAGATAATGCTAACATTTGCTAATGAACATAAAAGTCTTCATTATTGGAAATAACAATGTCAATTGCTTCCCCGTCATGTTTTCTCTTGGAAGAAGAGGACATCATGTTTTTGTCAATATAGAGCTCCAGAAAATGTGTTGGAGACCCCTTCAAAAATATGTTTTTCTCTGGTTCCACTTGTTATAGGTTTATGTTTCCAATATTTAACCCTACTCCCAGACCGCCAAGTGAAATGTTTTCATATTAGAGTAGGTATTGGAGCAGGTCAAGAAAAAAAAAAAAATAATACAGTATTTTCAGCCAATACTGCAACAAAGTTCCTACTCAAGTTTAAGAACAAAAAAAGTATTATTTTTTAAAAAGAAGTGAGACTTCAGAAATCATATTTGGTGTAATAACCCTGATTATAAACTTCTTATTTTAGCATGTTATGCAACAACTCAAGCAGCGAGGCTTTGTTCAATGGCTTGTCAGTTGAATCATCACCTTTTGAAGTAGAATGGATGTGCCTCCGTTTGATTTGATCAACATTAGTAGTAGTCTCTTCATTTATTATGAAAGCACCCCCCAAAATAAATCTAAATAAGTTGGTCTGAACTCTTTCCGGGTAATAACATTATCATTCTTTTTGTTTTAAAAACAAAGAAAATCATATGTTTTGGATTCATTGTTTGCAGCATGAAAAATACTGCTGTTTCACAGCTGGGAAAATATTTTGTCTGGAAGCTGGGAAATGTTGCATATAGTAAGACACGCAATGCTCACTTTATTTAAAATAAACCTTTAAAAAGTTTTTCAGGAGCTATAGCTTGATAGATAGCTGGCTACAGTAGCTAACAGCACTAAATGTGACAACTTTCAAACTGTTAATTTCTAGACACTAGGCATCATGGGGAGGGTCATAAAAATTTGAAGACCTCAGAGAGTGCACGATGAGTCAGCAACATTTTTGGAAAAACGGTAAAATTGCTTAATATCCAAATGACTTTGTTTGACCACTAACAGGGGCAATGGTGACAACTGACTATTTTTGGTGCAAAAAAAACAGGTGAAAAAAGAAAACCATTTATTCCATGGGAATCTATACAATAGTTGAGTTTATTGCATTGCATTCATGCGCAATTATTAAAACTAATAGATTATTATTCCAAATCAAGTCTCACTTAGCGCTCCCCTGAAGCCTATTGCACCTTGGTGTGAGATGACTGGAGGGATGTTTTTTTCTGTTGCATTTTGATTTGAAGTATTGATTAAGCAATGCAATTATTCAGTGTTCAGTTATTTTTTATTTGGAACCCTTGAAGCTATGACATTAAATATACACAAAGGTTCATTCAGTCTTGGCTTACCTTCATGAAGGAGGAATATCGCTTTTCTGTCATACCCTCAACTTTTCCCAGATCTTCCAACTGCAAAATACATCATTTATAGAGTCAGCATGAGTTACTTTAAACTCTATACATATCACATTTAAGATTGAAAAGTCCCTTAAGAAAAAGGGATTGTTCTGATTACACAATAAAACAAGATCTATACTCATGCATTTCTCAACCAACCTTTGTGAAGTGACCGTGGATCTCCCTCCAGCCCAGTATGAGCTTTGCCTTCTTGTCACCGATCTGCTGCAGACCCTTCAGGTCTTTGAGGGAGCCGGTGTTAAGAACCTGCAGGATCTTCTGTCTTGACTGCTCCAGCACCGATGTGTCGAGCTGGGACTCCCAGCCGTGCTCCATGATGTTTTCTTTACCATCGGGGGCCTGAGAAAGGTGAAGAAACAAATCAAACGTTATGAAAACTAGATTTACTTTACACACTATCCAGACACATTTACTAATGATTTTAATATATAAACACTCTTTTAGACATTTGTATGAAATGTTAAGTATCAGTACATGAAAATCTAGTTCATGTGTCAACTTGTTTTTGTCCACATTGGTCGAGAAAAGAGGTTAATTTTGTCACAACAAATTTGAGATCCTGCAGCTCCTGTCTAGTCCAACAACAAATTGAATCCAATGCACCACGTCAGCTTGTTTGTGATGCTTGCAACTCTGCAGATGTGTCAAGCTAAGCACAGCCGAGGCTCGGATGCTGACCTCAACCTGGTCTGAAAGCTTCCTCTCCTTCTTCTTGACGCAGACGGACTGTTTCTTGACGACTGCAAGCTGCTGAAGAGGCTGGAGCTGAGACACTGGTGGAAGAAAAAAAACACAAGAGATTAATAGATGTATTTATGTTATAAAGGACAATTTTCTCAGAAGTGGAATTTAAAAATGACAATATTGTGATGAAGAGCAGTCAAAAGTTCTATTTTAGTTTTGGGTGTTTTGTTTTGGCTCAGAGCCAAATGCATGAGACATTCACCCAGCAAGTGATCTCGCTTACTCTCCAAGCAGCTTACGGTTGTAAAAATAACTCCTCCTCATCGTCATTTGATATATTCCCCACCTGCAGTATCACAATGCAGCTCATCAACAGCTTCTCTTATTCAACATGACTGATCTGGCCAGTGACAACTTTTTGTTAAGTCTGAGCTGCAGCGATTTCTACCTCAGGAAAAAAACATCAAGGGTCAAGGGGAAACACTGTATTGCTTACATTTTGTTAGCTCAGACTACAGTTAAACTTTTAGCACCACAATGTTACTGTTCATCATACGTCGTCATCATCGTTACTGCTAGGAGTTCTACTTTGCTGCTCTTGAACAGCAGCAGTCTCTGGCAGGCAGTATTCATCCATGGTAAGGACTAGATTTGAAGACTGTCGTAGGGGGATTATAAATAATGGAATCAAATTAGTTTATAGGCACACCCTTGCTTTTACTCATACTGCAAATAAGGCAGTATGAAACTTTGTTGTACTTTCCTACAACTTGAAATAGATCAAGATAATAATTTTACTTTAAAATCAGTGAAGTTAGTCTCAGCTGTTAAACGGACCTTTAAGGGGTTGAACCACAGCCTTCTGCTTATTAGCTGTTGTTGCAGTTGACGGTTTTCTCTGCAGAGGAGCTGTGTTGTTCTTGAAGACGGACTCCTTGGTGGCAGCAGACTTTTCTCCTGCCAGGCGACTGAACAGCAAGGCCTTGGTCTCCAACTCCTTCTGCTTCTCTTTGAGCACCTGCCAAAACAAAAACAGCAGTGTGGTTGGATATCAAATATCCATGAATGAGTTGATAAAGATCATACAGCATCAGCATCTGGTACATTTCACACAGACAGAAGGGACTGAGGTTGAGCCAGGAGTTCCTATCAAACTCCCAGGAGGATAAACTTTACTTTTTTTGTACGCGTGTCATCACCTGTATCTCCTTGCGAGACTGGGCTACATCTTTAAGCTGCTTGTCTTTGTCTTGGCAGCTCATCATCAGCTTCTCCAGAGCGAGTAGTCTCTCCATCACCGACGGACTGAAAGAGAAAAACACACAAATAATAAATTGTCAAAGTTATGTCAGACAACAAGGGGGGGCTGCACAATCAGGCGCTTTGAAATGTACTCAAAAGTAAGCATGTCGACTACGTTGAAGTTGATCAGATTGAAGGCCCAGACACACTTTTACACCTGGTAACAGATGGCATGAAATCAGTGCCTGAATGTTTTTCCAAAAGGGATCCCAGTGGGCACAGCAGCTGCAGCCAATCAGAGCACAGCATACAGTTGCTTTAAGGCTATGGCCTGTTTGAGGTGCAGCTGTACAGCCTGGATTTGATGCAGTAGCTTGGGGCAGATGTGGTCTCTAGACAGTTAAACATCAGAGTTGCCAAGTCTGATAAAACAGCCAAACAGTTAGCCTCAGTTGATTTGTGTGAGTGTGTGTGTGTGTGTGTGTGTGTGCGCTGATGTTAACCTGTGAATTTGTGCAGAGGGGGAGGAACCATCTTGTTCTGTTTTCCGCTCCTCTTTCAGTCTCTTCTTCTGTGGCTCGGTTACAGACCCCCGTACCCCGTGGTCCTCTCTGGTCCGCTTCACTGGAGATGAAGGCAAAGGGGAAATTAACAGTTTAGTATTCAGTGCAGTCATGCAACGTCGTTGTGGGGGTTCTCTAGAGGGTAAAGCGACTCAGATAAGGATGATACCGTATCAGTCGAAGCTGGCATGCAATGCCTCGATTAAAACAGAGGAACTGTGTCTGGGATGTTTTTAAAGGAAATTTTTTAGGTTAAGGAGTGGATTGAAAAAGCTAATTTTAGAGGTGTTAAAAGTATATAAACAATGTCAATCACATCCAAGCTGCCTGGATGATTACACTTTAAGGCCTCTTTAATTTGACACTGGCACCCTCTATTGGTCTTGCATCGAACTGTCAGAATGTCTTGTCTACCTGTTTAATTTCATTAATACTTCAAAGTTCTCAACATAAAAAAAAAAATGTAGTTTCACTCACCTGACAGCACAGGTGCGGCCACTGTTTCACGCGTGAAGGGCTTGTTCACAATGAGCTTGGATTTGGCTGCAAAGTTCAGTGCATTGAAGGTATCAAAATAGTATTCGTACTCGGGTGAAATGTTGGTGATCATGACCGAGTGCGCCGAGCCGCCCAGAGAGTCTTGTAGCAGCCGTGTCAGTTTACTGTCTCTGTACGGCACACGGACGGCGGTGCCCGAGTTAAGAGAGTCTACCACTTTGCTGAGTGTGAAGAGAGACAGGTTGATGGCGCCGCTCTCCTTCAGACGGATGCCCTGGTTGCCGGTGCGACGGTTGTCCTCCGAGCCGGCCAGATCGACCAGGTAAAGCTTTCCTGTCTGTTGTCTGTGAGGCAGGTCACGCTGAGTCCGCACGACCTGGATCATTGAAAAGAAAAGAACGGTTTAGCCGTGACACAGAGGTGAGAAATGATGGAAGCAGAGAGAAGAAGAGAGGTAAGTGTAGACAGCAAAAGAGACTGGCATTTTATGATAATTATAACATAATAAATTATAAATACATTGCATTAGCATTTTGCTATAAACACTAAGAGCAGTGTGTCAGGTGTTTATGCATGGTTAAATGTTAGAACACCAATGTTACTGTATGTCCATGTTAGAAAAACATTAGGGGAAGTAAAATATTAGTAAAAAATGATTGAATGACACCAGTTTGTTTCTCTCCCAGTAAAGTCCCAGAAAGAAACCAGTTGCTAGCAGGAGAGTTGCGAGAGAGAATTGATGTTAGCACCAGCTACCAAATCCTGGCCTACTGCTCAGAGGCCACGACCTGTTTAAGATGCTTTAAAAGATTATAGATCAATAATAATCTCTTCTTCAGACCTTGAGGAGGAGGACAGCATGGCTGCGGCTGGATCGCTGGTTCAGTTTTGTAGAAGCTGTGGTGCGGTTGAGGCTGGCAGGGATAAAGTGTTTGTCAAAATCAGCGAAGGAGGAGATTGTTGTGAGGGTGAGGCCGGGGATAAGGATGTTTTTGTCTTTGTCCTCTCTGATTGGTAAATCCTGGGAACCTGGTGATAGCAGATCGAGCACCTGAGAAAAAGAAAAAAAAAAAAAGGAAGCATTGATGGGTTGTGCAAACAGATCTACAAATTATGCTTCAAACTGCTAACAAAGGATGCATATTATTTGGTCAGTCAATAATCACACTTATCACAGGGCTGGATCCAAACATAAAAATATATTTATATTATAAATAAAAAGTTTAATTTATAGAGGGGAGAGGTTATGATTTTATTAAAATGTGGGGACTGGATATATATTTTAGAAGAGAATTAGGTGTTCTTAAGACATGAGGAGTTGAGTTAAGAAACAGTATACAGAAGCTTTTTAATGGATTATATTACTAGTTTGAAACTTAATGTGGAAATTGGTTTCCATTATTTTCTAATTTAAAGGATTAGGGACAATAGGACAGGACGTGGCCATTTTTTGGTATGTACACATAAGTGACATTTGGCAACCTTTCTTACCTTCTCGTTGTAAATTTCTAAATAAGACATGCCAATGCTGTAGTCCCATCCGCCTTCCTCTTCTTTGGCTTTGACCAAATTGAAGACCTCACGCACGGCGCGGGGAATCACGCCAGGCTGCTCTTGACTGCCCAACATGGTGTGGGTCTTACCTGCGAAATAGGATAGAGCCATTTAAACACACACACAAGTTTCTCAACAAACTGCTCAGTGAGAGGCCAAAAGTTGCTCTGTGAAAGCTACACAGGTCTAATACCAAACTGTTGATTTGAAAAACAATAAGAGACAAAAGTATTAAAGACAAGTCATTCATGAAATAGGGGCGGGTTCAGCATGAATACCATCTCTATTACATCAAGTTAACATCAGTGTATCATACCAGCTCCTGTTGGTCCATATGCAAAGACACTGGCATTTTGTCCGTTCAGTACATGTTGGAGGATGGGCTTCACTGATGAGCGGAAAACCTCTTGCTGTGTTGTTTGCTCCGCATGGAAAACATCAAACCTGTAAAACATCCACAGGAGTCTCAGCATTTACTCTTGAAAGGTGATTACAAGAAATTAAAAAAAAGGAGCTTAGCTGTGGACACTGACTGGTATTTGACGGTTTCTGTGGCGTTCCTCCAGTTGACTATCTCCAGGTTCTGGGAGTCCAGGCCTCTTACACATGGTCCTTCGTCCTTCTCATGTGAATTCCCCACACAGGGTCTCAGACGAACAGCTACACGAACTCTTGATGTCTTCTTGTTTCCTCCTTCTGCCAACGCCACGCGCTGAGCCATGTTTGACCTCTTGAAAACAAAAGCCTGGATAGTCACAGATACATGTTTAAACAGGAGACCTTGAGATATGTTTCACTTCTGCTAGATTTAAAGCATTAAGAACGATAATAATGCGGATTACCCCCCCAAACAAAACATAGAAAATGTGCAGAGTTTGGATTAAGGGCCTTTAAACAGCTAATGCTAACAACAAGCTAAGAAAAGTTTGGCCACGAAAGCTTTATGCATCGTACACAACAATGTTTCGGTCAGAAAATACAACTATCGACTGAAATTCATTACAAATCTTACCGGTATTATGTGCAGAGTCCGTGTTCGAAACTTTTGCTATTCTCCCAGTTTTACTTTAAGCAACATAACGAACTCCCGACTGTCAACAAAAGCGACGGAGATAGAGCCTTCACTACTAACCATAGCTACTAACCGAACATTTTCAAATGTAGAGCGCTTAAACCGGAAACGACCATTAACCAATCAGAGGCACTGGCGCCTGTTCGACGTCTGCGGTGCTTATTTATAATCAAAAATATATCGAATATACAAATATATGTTGCGATATATAAACATATATCTACCCCTTCAATTAAGCTATTATCTAAATGGGAAAGCAAAATAGGTTTATCAGGAACCACTTAAAGGCATTCAGACTTTTATGCGCTTGCGCACTGAGCAGGAGGCCATATCACTAGATCGCTATAACATTCAGCGAAACTGATGTCGCTTAGTCGTGGTGTCGCTCAACCATCCACATGGTTTTTAATCAGTTGAAGTGCGCAGGATCGCAAAAGCAGGCAGTCACACCGTTCTTGGAGCCAAAATGGCGCTATGTTTACGTCTCTACACAAACGTTTATTATCCTTAGCAAGTCCCGTGGAGAGCTATGGTGTTTTTTCTCATTGGAAAAGATAGCTTAACAATTAGCGAAAGCCCAAGGGATCCAGGATCAACCGGACATTAGGTAATTGCGATTTTAAGTCTTGTATGTGGTCTAATTGTATTTTACTGTTTATAAATACTGGACGGTCAGGCCTGACGTTAGCTAGCTAGTTAAGAATGAGCACACCGTTACAATAAAGTTGTGTGTTTGTTCGTCTGAAATCAAAGCTAAGAGCTATCGAGAGGGTTTTATGAATGACTCTTCTGGCTTTCTAAAAATAAAACCTGTTCTCACGGGTTTCTTGATGTGTATTAAGTTTAACAGTACTCTTTTAAAATCATCTTTCTTTAAATAATGTTGTTTTTTTTTTGTACAGATTTGCAGCAATAAAGTTAAGCAGCAGCTGGGAAGGCTACAGGCTGAAAGGATGCAGGCAGAGGCCAAAGAGTCTTCGTTGACAGAGGGCGAAGAGGCTCTGGGTGTGAAGGACACAGAAAAACCTGCAGCACGAAAAGAAGAAGAAGAAGAAGAAGAAGAAGAGGGCAACAAGAGACACAGGACGCGGAGATGACTCCTGCAACAGAAGATGGCACAACTACAAAGGAAGAAACGGGCAAGTCCAACAATACAAAATAAGATAAGATACTTTATTCAACCCAGCAGGGAAATGTAGGTGTTCCAGTGGCCAGCATACATACAAACAACACAACACAACACAACACATATATACATACATATACCACCCATACAAAAAAAAAACATGAGCCCACAATACATAGCCAGGATAAAAAAAAGTGGTATGGATGGAAGTAGCTGTTACTCATAGATAACAGTACAAAATACTAGCTCTGCCAGTGCATAGTATGATAAATAAATAAAGAATTATGATAAAAAAGCAGTCAAGTGTGCAAATATACAGGTGCAAAATACAGTTTGATATATATATATATGCAGCTCAGGCTAAAGTTCAAAAGTTGTCCTTATGTCTTCTGTCCTTAATTAAAGGGGAGTCGTTATAAAGTGCAATTGCAGTAGGTAAAAAAGTATTTTTAAATCTGTACTTTTTGCAGCTTAGCCTCCCACTAAAAGCACTCTTTTGTTCACACACAAGATTGTGTAAGGGATGCATGTTATTGTCCATAATGTTCAACAGTTTCTGTATCATCCATCTCCCCAGCACAGAGCCAGCCCTCCTAATCAGCTTGTGAAGCTTTGTAGAGTCCCAAGCCCCTGATGCTGCTGCCCCAACAGACGGCTGCAAAGAAAATGGCACTTGCCACGACAGTCTGATAAAACATGGATAACATTTTGCCACGCACATTAAAAGACCTAAGCTTCCTCAAGAAGTAGAGTCTGGTCTGACCCTTCTTGTAGACAGCCTCTGTGTGGTGCGTCCAGTCCAGTTTTAGTTTATAAAATATAAAATAATAATAATGAGAGAGGGGAATCTAGTATGTGCAGCTTAACATTGCAAAAACGAGGGATGATTTTAATGAAAATGACTGCACTGATTCTGCTGAAGATGTGAATTGTACTGATTAATAGCAAATCTGATGAAAATGCTTTTAATTGTAAGGGATTAAAGGTACCGGGTAAATAGAAATCAAGTAAAAAAATAAACCTTCCTGAAACCCTTAAGACTGCAAAACAGTCGTTCTGTAGAAAGCAACTTACTCTCCCAATTTAAATACATTCAATCAAGCCTGTATGTACTGTGAATCTTACTACACATTTGTGTGTACCTCAGCAGCTGTAGCTAAAGTGGCTTTCTATGTATTTCTCTTTCTTCTCAGATGGAGACATGGATGTGTCGGAAGGAGAGGAGCACAAAGATGACGCTCAGTCAGATGCTGGATTGGAAGGTGACAAGGGAAAGCAGGCTGCAGTAACAAATGGTGAATGGGAAATTGCATACAGCGACGAAGAAATGGAGGACCCCAAAAACTGGATGCCACCCCCCGCTGAGATTAAAAGACTCTATGAGCTCCTTGCTAAAGGGGAGATGCTGGAACTGAACTTTGTGCCCCTTCCCAGAAGGCCACCTACACCTGAACGCACCCCGTCACCGGAGAGAGATGATGAAGACGAGGCAGCGAAGGAAAGAGAAAGGGAGGAGAGAGACCACAAGTCAGTATTTTATTTTTCAAGGTATGTTTGACTGTGTACAGGTCAGGTGTATGTGAAGCCTCATGACCTTCTCTCTTTCAGGCCTGTAACTCCGACCGAGTTTGACTTTGACGAGAAAGAGATGCAAGCAACTCCCAAAAATTCCTTCATCAACAGACGCAGAACACCAGGTTAGTCAGTCAAGAACTCATGATTTACAGCAAAGTGTTGTGTTGGCTATTTCATGGATAGCCCGTTGATTTCTTTTTCATCTCCCAGGATCTTCAGCACGCTCCTCAGTGAAAAGGGAAGCTCGGTTGGACAAGGTTCTTTCAGACATGCAGCGCCACCGCAAAATCGAGGAGCACATCATGCGTACGGGTCGGGACCTCTTCAAGACTGAGAAGAAGCGGGAGGAGGCTCTGTCACCGAACAGCCAGAAGGAGCGAGAGAAAGAGAGGGAGCGAGACAGCAACCCCAACACCATCTTCTCCCCGAGACAGAGAAGATACTGAAGTATTAAGAGATGATCGAGGATTTGCTGAGGACTTCTCAAAACTTGAATTTTTTAATGTAATGAATTTTCTATGTTTTCTATGTGTGTTTTGTATATTGGCAATAAACGATTTAAACCTAGACGATGTTCACTGATCTATTGAGTGTCATCTTGCATGATTGTAAACTTATTCTGGAGCCTCCTAGTGGCTACATATAGTGGAGCAGAGCATTTCAATAAATAAACATTTCAACAGAGCAGAAAAAAAGACAACACTGGAGGCAGCTCAGGACAGAGAAGTATATTTTAGCTAAGTTTGAGTAACAATACAGCCTTCACATACGGCTCAGAAGCATATAGTAGAATATGTATGCATAAATATGCATTCAAAACCACAAACCAAATAAATAAATAAATAAATACTTACAAATAAATAACAAGCAATTTGTGGAATATACAGTACATCAGTTGAAATGTTCTAGTAATGTCAAGAAGCAGTACATCATGAGTTCATGAAACAGGGGAATGCATACTCTGTGTTCAACATGCCCACAGATGGTTTTTTGGCACACGCTGCGCCCTGTCTTTATGGTTTTTGGACTGTTTTTATTTATTTTTATAGACCCATTAGGATAGTGAATCTGCTTAAAAGAAAACATCAAATGATTAAAAACTCAGCAGTTTGTTCATAATAGTCCATAGAACCAGAGGATCAAATGAAAACAGCTGGATGATTGAAGCAAACTATATAATGTAAAAGGCTTTAACAACTCAAACATAACTCAAGAAAGGTTAAAAAAAAAAAAAAATTAAAACTAAATCAGAAATTATAATGGACATGCTGCATGTCAGTCACAAGGGAATGCTTCCCTAGATTACGTTTGTTTCCCTTCAAATTGCATCATCAGGAGGCCCCTAACAAAGCTAAAACATACTCCAATCTCATGGATCCCTTTGTGAAACCAATCACAGAATATTTGGAGATTTACAACAGCATAAACAAAAAACAAAAAAGACAAGTCAATTAAAAAAAAAAAAACACGAGTGCATGTGCATCACTTCCATGAAAGCAAAATGCAAAACACACTTTGTGATAGCGGTAAATGGAATGAAGTCGTATCTACACTGAAACAAGAAGCACAGCCAGAAGGTTTGGGGAAGAGTTTGTGTTCACAGAGTTTCAAAACTGAAATGTTTGTTTTTATGCTGAAATGTCATTGTTGAAAAAATTGCGCAAAAAAAAAAAGAATGAGAAAAAAACAAATTAACATCGACCTAATACTGACGTGGAAATGACGACAATTTTACATCAGCTATGTACACATGTCACATTAGTCTGTCCAAGGGAGCCTATTTCTTCTCTGAGAATCAAAGTAAAGTAAAATGTAAAGAACGTGTGAAGAATGGGAGGAAAGGGATAAGGCAGCAGAATACAGTCTTAGAAGATTAACTCCCTTCTATAAAGGGTGAGTCAGTCTGCAGGTTGGTTACATTTTGTTAAGAGTGACGGTGACTACATAGAGGATACAGATAATAAACACTAACAAGTCAAAATACTGCTTAGCCGGGATTTGTTTCTTTTTTGAAGGTCTTCTTCATTACTAAGCTGAATCAGGCCTTCCATCTACAGCAAATGTACTAACATACAATATAATACATTCCTATTTTCCTACTCTTCCTGTACGGTGAGGCAGAGAGGACTGAATTTGATCTACATGAGGGAAATAGCCACCTATGCTTGCTATTCATCCAGGCAAATTCCTCTCAGGTCAGTGCATGTTCCTATCTATCACAGTGCCTGATGACATCTTTAAATACTGAGTGCACTAACACTTCACTTGTTTCCCACAAACTGAGAAGCTGAAGTCCTTGAAGGCCAGCAAGCAAACATTTGGCGTTTACAGTTTGACTGCTGGCCGCAAAGACTTTGGCGCAGTTTGAGGCCATAGTCTGTAGCTTTCTTCATATTGCTACTTGTTTCAAGTCTCCCTCGTAGCTTTCCTTTCTTTACATACTCATTGGTACATTCGCCTTTGTTCCCTCCCCCCCCCCACCCTTCTCAGTGAGTGGCCAGCTCAGGCTCTGTGGAGCACGCACTGTAGCCGTTTGAGGGCTGCGACTGTGCGTTGCTATCCGTCTGCTGCTCCTTGGATGTAGCTATGCTGGAGCGCGGTCTCTGAGAGCGAGAAGAGCCCGTGAAGAGTCGCAGGGCGCCCCTGCAAATTAAGGAGAACCAATAGAGCTGGGGGGCCATTAGCAGAGCAGCGCCAAGGTTACAGTGCCACGGCACAGACAGGGGAACCATGTAGAAGGGAATGGACGCGTACCTGGATCCAAACGCAGGGAGACACTCAGGATTAGAAAAAACATGTTTTATGTCTCATTTCCAGAATCCATTCAGTAAGAGATCATGTGTAAGTTGCTGAGCAAAGCTCAGGGAGAGAGCAGAGCATGAGAAAAAACGGAGACGGAAAGACAGACATACCTTCCATAGACGTAGTAGAGGTAAGGGAAGAGGAGGACTCGACAGATGAAAAAAGTGATCAGCATAAGAGCCCCATTCACTTTGTGCAGGAGAGTGTGTTGCTGTTTGTACTGAGAGCGGAAAAAAAAAAAACAGAGGGAGAGGTCGAGAGTGAGGGAGGAAGAAAAGCAAGCAGTACAGTTTGGTGAGAGCTGATGGAGGTTAACTTATTTGCCATTTTTATACTGTTAATTACAACATTGTTATATTTATCAATAATATCCTCATTGACTAAGGCAGTGGTGATGGCATAGGTTGTATGAAAACAGGACAACCCTCCCAGGGGGACACCAAAACACCTGAGCTCACCCTACTAATTGGCTGCAGTAAAGGTCATAAGCTCCACCTCTTTCATGTGAACAGATGGGACAAGAGTCAAACTATAAAATCAATATACACTCAATAACATTTTCCTCAATGTTTTTTTATGTCCTTATCTTTAGTTTAAATCATGTTGATTTGTGTCCAGTTGCTCATTTTCCTGAGAAGTGGTGTTTAAATTATTTATTTGATGCTATAAAAAGGATTCAACAGCATGATTGACAGAGCTGTTGACAAATGTGGCTCCTGTGGGACTGTGTGCACCAGGTAAGGAAAACAGTGGAGGAACGGTGAGAGAAAACGTGAGGAACACCGACACAAGAGTCACTGACCTTTCCTCAATCGTGAGAGTCTTCATTCAAACTGACACAAGAATCTGTTTTGCTCCGACCATCGACCAGCAGAGGGTTTTTTTTTTTGCTGTTTTATCAGTCAATTAAATTTGTGTTTTGGTTACCATCAGAAACACGGCAGAGTCCTGGTACAACTTTGCATCCAAATGGCATCACCAGTGTCAAGGCCCGTCATGGGGGGGTTACTTACATGTTGTTGAACCCCCTAAGACAGGGGGACGAGACATTGGCTGCGTTTACATGGACACAAATAATCGTAATAAAAGCCTGAGTAAAAATGTTTCATGTAAACATGTCAATCAGAACAGACTGATCTGATCAGACTCATTCGGGAAGAGATTTCATTCGATCGAGAGGGGTGGTTTATGCCGATCAGTGTTCAGATCAGGATCCATGTACACGTTCGATCTGATCGTGTCTGCCTGACTGGGGTAAAATGATCCTTACTGCGCATGTCTGCCCCACATAACCTGACGGGTTTCCCTTTTTGTCACACCGGTATTAAAAAACAAACATGGCGAGAGCAAAACAAAAGTGGCTGGTAGCCGAAACCACTGTTTTGCTTGAAACTTTAAAGGAACTGAGGATTATAGAAAGGCTCGACGGTCGAAAGGCCAGAAATAATGAAGTATTGGTTAGATTGTTGTCAAACACAGGCGGAAATGTCAGCTTCTTCTTCTGATGTTTCCAGCAGATAAGACAGGTGGGACCAGTCTGTGCATGTCAGAATGGTTTTATCCTGATTAAACACCGATGCATGAACGCGCACGGCATAATCCGATCTTTTTATTTAGCGTCCACGTAAACAGTGAAATCAGAATCCCCAATCGGAATGATTTCAATAAGAAATTGTGCACATGTAAACGTAGCCACTGTCCATCTTTGAAGACAGTCAATGGGCGACGGAGGGCACACTATGTCAAGCAGCTGGCTGAGACCCTTGTGTTTAGCAGTTTTATTTATTTACAGCAAATGACTAAACTTTTGTTTCCTCCAGTCGACCTGCTTCAGTGAGATAACAGTTGAGTGAGGCAAGCTTGTATGCACTGCTCTAAACAGGTTTTCCTTGTTCCCATTCAATACCCTATAATGACATGTCATCTCTTCAATGATTACTATTGTTTTTATTATAAACATTCATTGTCTTCTATTCTACAGGTACAAGAGGCCACATCTATCAGCCCGTTGTTTATCAAACGACCACATGCACTGTTGTCAGGGACAGGCGGGGCTGGGTGCTGAGTGATAGCGGGAGGGAGGGAGGACAAGCTGATACTGTATCTGCTGAATATCCCATCTAAATACTAGTGGCTATATTCAGAGACTAACAGCTGTGGGAGCCTCACACAGGGGACAAGCAGTTAGCAATGGAGGGGCGGCCTTCATCCTGACACTCCGTATACACACCAACACATGCCTACAACAAACACTGGGGAGGGGTGCAGCTTCTCTTGTTCCAAGCATTCAGTGTTACCAATTTAATGATAGATGTTTCTGACGGTGGTGCTCGCGTTGGAAACAGCCAATCGGCATTGAACAAGCTGCATGCTGGGAATGACCAAGAACATATTTCCCATTGAATGAAAAGGTGAGGGGGGAAAAAAAAAAAAGATGTGAAGAATGCAGAAGAACTTTAGTGGGACAGATGCACATGCAGCAACTCACTCCAATCTTCTCTGAGGACGAAGTGATGCACTCACCTGGATGAGTATTTTTCCTAAGCAGACAGATGGAGTGCTGAGCTCAGCCATGAACATTACACCCTGGAAATAATCTCCCCGTCCTTGCCGCCAAAACTAGGGAGAAAAAGGAGGTTGATTAATTGCCTAGAATGTAATTACAGCATTGTTCCTTTGTGGATATCATCAATAAATACTTTGATATGATTAAAAATCAAACCAAAGCCGACAAGAAGAACATTTGAAGTCTTAAATCCTACTTC